CTGTACTTCAATAACGGGAGGGAGCAAAACTTGGACGTAACAAAAGTTCTTCAATTTTAACTCTTTTGTCACACATTGGATACGTATGGACATCTTGGGTTCAATTTTTGGTCTTATTGGTCGAACTCGTTTGGATTAATTCACATTTGCTTGGTAACTGATTTTCGAACAAAGGCATACAATGGAAACCAGAAGCAAAAAGCTGAAGAAAAATGACGAAACGGATGGTAAAGATTCTAAAGTTGTCTGTGGTATGTCTGATTTTAATGATGATAAACGTGACGATATTAGTGTTAATAGTAAGTCCTCAGCTCAGTTTAGTACTTCTAGATTGGGGTTAGATAAGGCATTACTAAGGAAGAAGAATTTGGAAAGGAGACTTGAATTAGAAAGGCAGCTTAAAATGTTAGATCTTCAAGAGGAGGTTGATATGGCCGAATTAAAATGTAAGGTCATAGAAAACGGTAACCAACTGTCAGTAGACAAATCTGAGATAAATTCTAAGGTGTAAAGGTACTTGGATTGTGACATTGCGCGTAATAAGCATTCCTTGGAGGTATTTAACACCTCAAAATGCGGCTCAAACAAACAGTTATCGCAAAAAAAGCTTCTAAGCGCAATTAACGCGAACAGCTAAAATTACGGTCGCAATAGTTAGAAACAAATTCATCGTTCTCCAATTTTTGACGATAAACTCGATTGAAATTTCTTATTATGCCAACGGCCACTTGTGTGATCGATCAGCTTATTTATTCATGCATATGTAAATGCAGACTACAGTGATTACGCTCGAGCATTGCAGGATTACACATTACATTATACTGACTTTAACCTAATAACATTACATGTTTTCAAACGGTAAGCGTTCATAATGCAGTAACTGAATTATTTTCAGTGGGACCAGTAGGAACGTATGTGTGTCATACTTTAAAATCTTGTAATGAATAACTAGTTGTCATCAGTGACGAATAAATGGAGTGCTAGCGAGAACAGTAAGACTGGTGTCGGGAATTAAGAAACTCTCAAAGTTGAAGATGTGGATGAAGTTTTGTTCAGTCGAAATCAGTTAATAATAGCCTTGATATTCACAGGAGATGTAGTTTCTTTGCTAAGGAGCCTGTCAAATCATGGTACTTTGACACAAACTGCACCCTGCACACGCTCTCATTAAGGTCACAGCTCATGCCGAGCACCTTCAAATAGACACTTTGAAACAAATCTGCTCCTGAATTAAGCTAACCACTCAAGAACCCTGCTGTGTATTGACACTATTTGTCATCACTTGTTGAAAATGGAGCTGCATCAAATTTGCGCTGTCAGTGACATGGCGTAGACTTTGAAAATGACTCTCTTTACTAATGGAATTGAGCAGAATTTCACAGTAAATGTGTCAACTTTATCTTACGTGCATCATTAACTTTAAAACATGTTTGATGATAGTTGAATCTTTTCAGTCTGATTGCTATCGGCATGCATTGTTTGGTGATTATGATAAATTCGTGACTTTGTAGGAAGTCTGTTGGGCATAACTCCGTTCTAGTATTTCTGCATCACTTTAATCCGCCCGGTATCATCGATCTTCTAGATGATATGGATACGGTGAGAGTTTTAGATTGGTTTGTTGACCGACAACGTCAACCGTATTTCCCTCCGACCACATAAAACTTACTAAGTTTTCGGACCAAACTGTGCTCACTACATATGTATCAAAAAAGAGTGTTATTATATGGCCATTCCATCCATATGAAGCGCTACTTCATGCCAATAGAGGTTGGCTTTCCATACAAGTAATCGAACGTTTCAATTAATCCTGCTAATTATAATCAACTGAAAGTGAAGTAATTCACTAAAAACTCTAGGCTGTTCTGGATGGACAAACTTAAAGGTTTTTATGAATGGTCTGATATTGTGTGGTTCGAATCTGTCCACATTAAAGACAAAGGACGTGGTAAACGAAAATGTTCGGCAGGTTCATAATGTATTGTCATAGAGTCAAACGAACGTGAAACTACTAGACTTAGCATCCGAATGATGCGAAAAACACCTAATACCAAATAATGACAAAGATACTTCACTTCGAACCTTTAATGAGTCAAGTCGAATAAAGTTATTATAGTCAGCACTGATATCGAATACTAAGTTATTCTGTTTAAGGAATTACTTTACTGTGAAATCAATACACATAGCAACGGTTACATCATCGAATGATTCGTAATAACAAACTACAATACACTTACAGGACGTGAAAAAGTGGATTTTATTTCCATTCATGGACATCAGTTAAAGTAAGACTTGAATGTAAAATTTTTAGTTGTTTACTTCTGTAAGCACCGAAATTCTGATATGAGTAGGGAGTCCCGTTTCATGCCCTTTTCTTCTACAACCAAACGCTATTTACTAAGGGCACCTCATAGTGATAGTACTCTAATCAATAGAAGTTTGTATTCTTGTGAGCGTACTCTCTCTGGATTGTTTTACTGTCTTGTTTTTTCAAAAGGTTGGTTCCGAAGTTGAACGGGGTTCAGTAATCAAAAGCTGCACACTGACTGAACATGTACGCCATTAGATGAACTAAGGATGGATAACCTTCAAACGAATGGTCATCTTCTGGTCGGGGATATCCATGTCCATACACAATTGGGAAGTAGAGACCATGAACCAGACATGAATAAAATGCTCATAGAAAAAGTACTCAGGAGGAACGAAAACTAGAACTACCTTTGCTATATCAGGATAAACCGCATGTGCATGAGACAGCATCTCAACAACACGCAATGGCCAGGTGAGAGGAGGAGGCTAAAAGTATATGACCACTGGCAAACAGTAGTAGAAATCATTCAGAATGTTATCCAACAAAATGTACCCCAGGCATACCACACGTTAAGAAAGAGAAAAACGTGGGTTAAGCTAGGTACTAAACGCTTGTTACATGCAAAAACAAGAGACTGGATCAAGCGAAATATCTCTCTGAAGGATTCACGGTGCCCAGATGGATGAGATTTTTAACGTTGACTTCACTAATCAGTTAAATCAGGTACCAACAAATTCAAATTACTATTCAAACGTAATGCCAGCTAATGGCCTAGGGACGATCCGACTTACTCTTGACTTAGCACCAAAAAAAACTAAAAATCCCTGTGCCCAGGAAAGTCACCAGGCTGTGAGGATATTCGCCCTATCGTCTTGAAACATCATGCAGAATCCTTTAGCCCATCGGTATGTGACCTGTTTAGGCACTCACTGGAATCGCACAAACTGCCACGTCTCTCCAACCTTCGAAGGAGGAGATAGGAAGAATCCACCTTGTTACAGACCGGTCGCATTACTACTAATATTACTGAAGGTAGTGGAAGGACTGGGGAATGAGCTTATGAGGGAGTTTATGGATGGGAACAAAATCCTCCACGAATCTCGATATGGGTTTTGGATAGGCAGGCCATGTGCATCCAATCTTCTGATACCATGAGACAGATAGGCCAGATGCCAGGACCGAAAAATACGGTTGCATATAATCTATCCTGACTTCGTCAAGGCCTTCCACACAACAGCTCACGCACTCCTAATTGATATTAAAAAGGTTGTGAAAGTGGGCTTCATTGATCCACTTCCGTCTTGGCTGAGAAACAACCTTGAGGAGAGATAGTTTCGTCACAAGGTAAGTACAGTAATTGTGAACTTGTGAGTCTCAATATCAGGAGTTTCATAGAGGACAGTCTTATGTCCATTTATCTTCCATATGTTAATGACTCGTTAGATAAAATTAGCCTACCAGTATTAATCTATGCAGATTATGGGAGGTCCACAAGAAGCCGAGAGCATTCAACTGAGCTTTCAGAAGACCTTATATCAACTTAGGAATGGGCTGTGAAAAAAGTGGGTTACATCTACACCAGTTGAAATATCTCATTATGAACAAGCTGCCCGACATGACACAAACGACTTATAACCTTAATGGAAGTTCGCTCCTTAATGTCTCTTCAAGGCGTGATCTCGGTCTTCTAACCACTGAAAGAAAGATTACGTAGGTGACGCAGCCAAGGCTAACACCAGTCTTCACTTTATCCAAAGACAACTTGGTGAAATCACCCCAGAATTACTCCTAACACTACCTAAAACTTGCACAGGCCCACAGCCTGAGGTTCACGACGTTATCGCATCCCCTCTCCTTAGAAGAGATATAAATCTCCAGTATCGAGTGCACAGATGAGAAACTGAATGGGTGATGGGGCTGAATAGCAAACCTTACGGAGATAGGCTCCAACACCTGGGATTATTCCTTTCGAGTCACAGGAGAATCAAGGGTGGTCGAATAGTGGCGTACAATTTATTAAGCATGCTGCATCATTCAAACATGAGCATGTTACCAAAGCATTACCAGCAAGCCCCTTGAATATTGCTCATCAGCGAGCGAACACATAAGATTGGAAAACTTGAACGCCCTCCCAGACGAAGTGACCACATCCTCATAAGTGGACAGCTACAAGAAGACACTTGATGAGCACGTACCGACACAGATTATCATCTACCTCTTGCACCAGCAGTGCCAGATGCACTTCCTGAGACTTACTAGTTGTTATTATTGTCATTTCCTCATATCACTAAATCTACCTCACTATCTTTTTTTCCATTCCTTCGCATACACTACGATCCTCTAACACAATTCTCACTACCAATAAATTAACTTCTCTATTCATTTATTTAATCTGTACTGAAGTCTTTTGATTAGCATAAGAATTTCCTTCTTATTATTCTCCACATTGCATTTAACTGATTTCTGACCTATTATCGTGCTAGCTGCTGTTGTCCAGAAACCTTACAGTCCTGGAACAAGCGTACACATTCAAATCACAGGACAAGCAAACAACTGTCAACTCAGTAGAATCAGTGCAGTCCAAGGGTTAAATTACCATTCACTGAACACTACCAGATACCTGAAACCGTACTGAAATAACAAAAATCGAGTGCAGTTAAACAATTGGTTTACACCAGTACATTAGAGTGATATTGAATATCGGAGTCATTTGTACATTTTTGCGTTCGTAAATGCGACTGTGCGCTACGATTCACTGGTATTGTCTTTGTTGTTGTGAATAAACTACGCCCAATTAGTTTTAATTACAATAGAAATAACTGACACCAATACTTATACAACCCCATGTCAACACATTTTAAACAGTGCAGAAAACATTAAATAAGCAGAGAAACATCGAATCGTTACAGTTATCAACCAGCCACTGAGAGATTGAATAGTCAGTTTACGTGCTACTCTTCCCGTGTATTCCGTTTTCGAGTAGCAATGTCGCAAGAATACTTTGTTGTCTCGGTGAGACTTTTGGAAAACGAAAAAATGGAGGAGATACGCGTGCCGGTAAAATTTAATACTGTTCTTTCTTGTTATCCATGTATATCTTAATTCATAATTAGGATCTTATTACCTTCTGATAAGTCTTTTAAAATTTTGTGCTGGACCTTATCTATAATTAAAATTAGTTTTAAATTCACATCTATTCGATCTCCCGACTATTGGGAAGATTTTATCAATTATTGTTGAAAATTCAGTAAACTTAACGGCGAACCTCGAAGCCTTCCTGAATTTGGAAGATTAAATACTTTCAAAATTTTTGATGACTTTCAACAATGTCCGCTCTAACGGCTCACTTGTTTATTCAAAATCTGATTGTTCGTTACTCCTTAATAGCTGGTACATGATCTAAGGACGGGTAGATATATCACTAATATACAAAGCTTCAATGACCACTAAGTTTTTTGAAAAGTGCTTTACACATGTCTTCCATCAGTTAGTATATGCGTAACAGTCTCTAATTCAGTGGTAATACTATATTTCTGAGTGTTTGCTCTAGATTTGTTTTGATTTTCGTATCTAGAAGCTGCCCATGAGTTTTCGCATCATTTTAAAATATTTTTGATATAGAGTTATTAGCAAGCAGTTTAGTATCTGATGTTCAGTTTTCTTGAAGCGAACACTGTGTATTCTTATTTGGCCGAATATCAAGTATATTTAGGCACGAGTGTTATGAACGATCAGATATTTAATGAGTATGGCTCCAATTATTTTCATTAACCAAGCCCCGTGCAGCTGTGTCTTATCGCCAACCTACCACTTCCGTTGATTATTTATTATGTTCAACACGACTTTTGTTGATGTATATATTCTGAAATAGTACAGATGCTTTTTAAGCAGATACTCACCATGTGTACGTTCTCTGTAACATTTTTGTAGGAGGATGCTCCTGGAAAATGGCTTTTTGAAGAAATCTGTCGTCAACAAGGAGTAATGCAAGAGCGTGAATATTTTGGCCTTCGTTACCTAGAACATGAAATGCTTTCGTCTCCAACAAAGGTAAAGCAATTGAATAGATAAATACAACGTAGAAATAACTCATTTTAGCTCTTTTTAAACGTGGTGTACAATATTTGTTATCTTCATTCTGTGACTACACACAAAATTCAGTAATATCCCTATCAAAACATAAGTCAAACCCCTTATCAGGCCTAAGTGTTACAGATCAGTGTCTAGAAAACTACATGCAAGAAGGTACGACAGTAAAATCAGGTTGGAAACTAGACGCTTGTTATATATATCTACTTTGATGAGATGTGATACGTTTGTAAAACTTTATGGAATGAAGTGGAGGATTAAAGTGGCTCGTGTAAATACTCGTAAAACTGAACTGCCAGTCATCAGTTAGTTCATTAAAAAACTAAACTCTTGGAAAACTGATTGGTCTGTTTAGATAAAAACTTATTTTCATACCAAATATTCAAACACGATATCACAATAAAACGTTATTTATCAAATAACAGGCTAATAACATGTTATTAAACATTCAGCTATTTCATCAATCATTGAGTAATGGCAAGTACCAGTGTACTATTCATTTTGAGACACTTGTAAGGCTTTTGCTAAAATATCATTGCGATTAATCCTTAATTAGTTTCATATTGCTTTTATGTATGTAGATCTATTTTGATTCATTTTTAAAATCAAAATTTGTTTACAGCGTTGGATCAATCTCACCAGAAACTTATCATCACAACTCAAGCGTAAGTCCGATGTCGTCTTCGTGGTGTAATAAATCTCCATTCCACAATGCAAAGTTTATAACTGTTCGTATTCTCTTAGCCTGATTTAATGATGCAGAATTTTTTGAAACAATCTATTTTTTGTGTTGCGTTATAGAAAAAACATTAATATTGGAGTTGGTAGACTGCTTAGCATAGTTTAATACATTTTAAAGTCAGCGTCACTTGAATTCGATTTTGCATGATTCGACTTTCGAGATCCTCCTTGGGTGTGACTATCGAGTTAAATAGGTCTTGAATGTTTTTAGAGATAACCTCGGAAGATTAGTTTTTTTTCTAAACTCACCAAACTTTAAATGATGTAAACTGTGGTACAATAGTAGTCTTTCGTCAATATAACGCTATACGACTTGCTTTAATGTTAGTCTGCAACAGCTAAATTCAGGATGATTCAAAGGATTGTTCTTTAAAATTAAGTTCATGTTATCAAATTAATATTGTTTATTTTATCCCCATGTTTACCTTCTCTTGTCGTTTCAGACACTTATCCTCGTCAAGTAAGCTTTCGTATCAAGCATTATCCTGCAGACCCCATCATTGACTTGAGGTTACCCAAATCCCAGTGAGTTCATATAAATATTTGTCGAATGCGTTATCTTTTATCAGCGAATTGTCATTAGATAAGTTGAAACCTATATTACAAAGCCTACTGATTTCTCAATTATCGACCTCTTATAAATATAATTGGGACCTTCGTTAAAACGCCTTTTGTAACCGGACGTCTCCCAGAAATTCTTCTCCCTTGGATGGGTCAGTGTTCACTTACAAGAAAAATTCAAGACTAGTTTCAAAAATTGAAGCAATGAACCAGTTTTCGAAGTGCCCCTCTCACCATTTCAGGTTTCTTTATAGAGTTGTTAATTGACTCATCAACTTCATAGATTGTTTTACTGATACTAAGCTTCTTGCCGGTGAAAATTCGACTAAATTTCAACGATTTTATTTTCCAAATAAGATTGTCTGTTTCATTCATTTCGACACATTCTATTTAGCACAATGAGTTTGTAAACCACCGTAATGTTATACTAGTTTTGTTCATACTAAACGAGAATAGGAATTCAAATAGGCGATCCGAATAGCGGTGACTTTCTACACATACCATCTTCGAGTGCTTTTAATCTGACCCATTTAGGTTCAGAGCTGGTTTAAATTGAAATGTTCACCTTTCACCATGTTTTTTGAATGACTAGTAAAAGTTATCCTATGCGTCACTGTAGCAAATTATCTTATTTGTAACTAACGCGTCCTCGACAACTTTATAAACCATTTTGCTCTCTGGTATGACTTCTGACCTGAATATTTGAAACCCAACCAACAACACAATGGTTACTAAGCTTCCTTGTGAAAATGTCATTTGTTTCGTCTAAACTATAGTGTGTTGTCAATAGCGAAACGACGTTCTGTTTTCTAGTAACTCTTTATATAAGTTATCTGTTAGTACAAGACAAACAATTTTTTTAGGGTGAATTCAGTTGATTAGTGCTTCCTTAACCCTAGCACTTAATGAAACACTAGTACATATTAGACTATAATGATGCAGTATCACTGAGTAAACGTTCGTAAAACCTAATTTTTGTATAGATGAAAACATTTTCTCTGATTCCTCTAGATTCTGAGTATCTTTTTCCCAAATATTGCATTTGTTGAAGATGAACTTTTCGGTTTCGCGTACATACAACTATAACTTTGATCTCAAACTAGTAGTACACATAAAATCCATAGTTATGGAGCAATTAATGAAATGTATTCAGGTCATCAACTGTATGTAGATATATATACTGTTCATTTCTAGTTGTCTTGATTTGTTTAATGCTGTTATTTCGCCTTGAGACCTAATCTGTAAAGTGACCGTTCCTGTTAGTTGTTGTGATCTAATGCATTCCAATAATTCCTCAATAATCATGGATTTCATGTGTACTGCTAGTTTGAGATCAAATTTCTCCAGCTTCCTATGCATGAATCCATTTCAGTCATCTGTTGTCCCCAGTAACATTAGGTATCAAAGCATAAATATCTGAGATACAGAACACAGTGAATCTATAGCTGATTGTATTGGAATATTTAAAATCCAATAATAAGCTCGAGGTGAGGTACGTTTTGTATGTTCTGTCTTTGCTGATGTTATTTCTCTTGGTTTTGAGAAAACGTTTCAAACCATTTTATCTTATCGGCTCATCATTTTATGTTATTATCTATAGTTTGCTACATAGGGGATTGGCTATATTTAACGATTATCTTTATTGTTTTTCATAACCAAACACCATCTTGCTTTATTTATGAAGAAATTCAAACCGAGGTTTAATCGAGGTAAAATATGTCTCTGTGATTGGTGAAATTGTCCTGGTGTAAAGTGAATATCGTTTGTAGTTACGTAGACTTCTGAAGGACAGTATACCATACTTCAGTACTTCGGTGTATTCCTATACTTTTGTAATCTTTCTTGAGCCAAGCTACTGACTGCTACCTCCGTATAGTTAAAAAAAGTTGAAGATTTTCGATCTTGTCAACGTTATATAAAAATTCCGAATTCTTTACACGCCTCAATCTGTTGAGATAAGGAATTCGAATTATATTCGTCATGACTACAACTTTAACCATGTTTGAAAAGTTTTAGATAATAAGAAATCAATTTACATACTATAAAGATGGATAGTTATTTCTCACTTATTGAATTCTGTCAGTTATTTCACTCTTTTCTGTACATAAATCTCTTCCCTCTTTTAGTTGATGCTTAGTAGCTAACTGTTGCATTAATTAGGCTACTTAAAATGGTTTTATTTGTTATGGGAACTTTTCTTGAACACGCCCTTTGTCCCTATTCTACCTTTCAGCTACCTACTCTATCATCAGTTGCGTCGGGATTTAATAAGTGGGAGATTAGTCGCACAAATTGATGTGCTAGTTCGACTTGCTGCGCTTGTTGTTCAAGGTAAGTAGGCATCGCTTATGTATTGTTACAACAATGTAAGCATTTGTTTTCTGTGGTTATCATTATGATTTTCTTATTCCTAAATTGCTTGGCTGTAAATGTAATGCTAATTGTATTGTGTGATTTGTTATCAGTGGAACTTGGAGACAGTTCAGCCCAGGAACCACTTGAGGCGTCTGTGAAAACTGATGAGCGTCAATATTTACGTGGATTTCGTGTTCTACATAATCAGACTGAACGTCTTGAATCTCTTATCACTGAAGAACACCAGAAATTGGAGTAAGTGGTTATTACCTTTTTGAAATTCCGTTTTTAAAAGACCTCAATTTTAAGTGATTGAGTAATGTCTGATCATTTTCGTTTGTTGATGGTGTTTCGTCGATGGTAGGGATGTTTGACTTTCAACCACTAGATAATAGGTTCGAACCCTCTCTACTTACTTCGGTGTGGACAACAGAATAGTAACACTAACCCTCACACTTGTTGTGCGGTTCATACCCAAGCACCTGACGAATGAATTAATTATTTTCATATTTTAAATTTTACTTCATCAATTTCATGCAAAAACGTAATTTTTTATTCTTACATTTTCGCAAATTCTTTCTTTGCTTTCCAACTTTATGTCACATTTTTGCATTTGATACCTCCATATCCTCACAAGCCACCTTATCATTCATTGTGATAATTAATTACTCTATTCGTACAAAATAGCTGTACATTTATGTCATTTTGTCCCCGACCGTAGCTCCTACCTTGATGTGGTGGTCGGGCTTGCCTATCGTGATGACCTAACCGAGCTATATTGGCTGGGACATGTGTCCCTGCAGGTTCTACCATGCCAGGCAGGTTGATCGAAGAAGGGTGAAACTAAAAGCAGCTACTCAAGGTCTAAGGGCGAAGTCGTACTGCTGACCAACTGTAGAGGGGTGTGACAGCAATAAGGTGTTTCCCTCAGACAACCAGCATCTGAAGCGATGCTGTCATCTCACAAGGAAGCAATGGGTTACAAAAGTTCGACCCTAAAAATTTCACACCCACCTTACCTCACAGATTTCCATCTCCGGAGGTAAGGCTTTTTTAAACAAGAGCAGAGATAAAAATTGGAAAGCTTCTCATAAAAAGGCCGTGCGTGACCGGCCTCAAGCAGTTGTCCTTTTGGCTCTGTATTCACGCTCCCTGGTCTCTAAGACAAACGCTAATCTACCTTATTTTTCGGGTTCCTCAAGAAACACCCACGCCGTGGGCAGCTGGGAAATGACAATCGCCCTCATACCCGTAACAGCATACAAGACCGAATTGGTCACAGTTAAATCCTTCCTACTCCCCTTAATATCTCTCTTATCTCCACGAGTAACTCTTCTCACATTCCTTTATCACCCTGTACTACTGATGCAAACGATTCCAGTTCACGAAACTTTATTCCTAGTCTCCTGAAACCCTGTTCTAAACTACATGTTTGAGCTTATAATGTCCTGACATTGTCAAATAGGGCAACAGGCTTCCCTAGCTAGGAGTTTGGAATCTCGCACCGTCGATGTAACGCGCATACAGGATCCGGTCAAAATCATTAATTTAATTTCACCTTATCAAAATAAAGAAGCAGCCCGATTTTCCTCTTCGTGTTTCAGGTAGCCATGATGCGGCTTTCCGTGGCCTCGATGGTGTAGGCGTAGTATTAAGTCCTAGGGCAGAACTAGCCTTCCTAGACTGGATCCCAGTAGATAGTCGCCTGTGCGCTGTGAGACTGAACGGGACAGTAAGGAGTCAGAAAGTTAGGGACACTTACCGTTGCCTCTTCGTCGTATCTGCCTATGCTCCCACTAACTGCAGTTCAAAAGAGGTGAAAGATGAGTTTTACAGAAAGCTTTCGGACCTCCTCCACAACGTTAGGCACTCTGATATTGTAATAATGGCTGGTGACTTTAATGCTCAAGCAGGTATACTAGGTGAAAAGGAAAGACACCTGTGTGGATCTTACGATGTCGCGGCTAATAGAACAGATAATGGCGACCGTCTGCTGCAACTATGCTTCGATAACCGCCTGTTTCTAGCAAACACTAACTTTAAGCATAAGATAAAACATCTTTTGACCTGGCGACCCCCAAAGCCGACCCAACTAGATAATCACATGTCTATAAGCCATCGGTGGAGAGGTTCTGTTGAAGTCTGCCGCTCTTTCTGGAGCACTTGTTTAGACTCAGACCGTGTTCTAGTGCGATCGCGTATTTGTTTGCGTCTTATTGGACCTAAGAAAAACATCGCAAGGAAACTACTTAGTGGTCATAAAGCTAAGAATAAATTTCAGAAACAACTAAACAGACAGGCAGACATGTAGTAAGTGATGCCCACCCTGAGGCAGCTTGTAATTGTTGGGGATGTTAGATCCCCAGAACTCGCTTGATAAATATCTTTATTTTGGTTTTATTTCATGGACCGATCAGTTGACCTTGAGATCACATTTCCCACCAGGAAAATCCTTAGCTGTGACGCTCGTAAACTCATCCCACCTGGCTCTGAACATGATGAAGTGAAGTCAGCTTAATCGCAGGCTGATAAAAAGCCTACGCTACGACCGCGAACTGTTGGGTGGCGAAAGCAAGAGCAATGGAAAAGGCGGCGGCGATAGACAACAGTAGACAACTTTTCCGCCTTATAATAGAAACCGGTATTAGAAATCCATGTTACCGAAACTATCTCGGGAAAAGATGGTATTATTATTCATTCTCAGTTCAGGAGATTGGATCGATTGGCAGAGCACCTCAAGGATCAGTTCAACTGGCCCTCTGCCACATTTTGGTTGCCCACGATCTCCAGTCATCCTGAATGGCAATTCGACGTAAGCCCTCCGAACCGTTATAAAGTTGAAAAGGCTATAGGAAATCTGGAGCGAGAGAGCAGCAGGTCCTGATAGACTTACCCCTGAGATTTTTAAGGATGATGGTCCAGCTTTAGCAGCTAGATTGACTGAAATCTTAGGTACTATATGGGAACTAGGCATAATCCCATCTTACTTACTTACTTACGACTGTTACCCGCAATGGAGCATAGGCCGCTCATCAGTTCCCTCCAACCAACTCTGTCCTGGGCTTCCCTCTCCAGTTCTGTCCAATGTTTGTTCATTCCTCTCATGTCCTTCTGTATTTCTCGGCGAAATTTGTTTCTTGGCCTTACTCGTTTCCTTTTACCCTGAGGGTTCCAAGTGACGCAGTTTGGTGCTTTTCGCAGTGTCTGTCCTATCCACTCCCACCGCTTCTTCCTGATTTCCTCCTCCACTGGAATCTGGTTTGTTCTCTCCCACAGTACGTTGTTGCTGATGGTGTCTGGCCAACGAATCCGAAGTATTTTGTGAAGACAACTGTTAATAAACACTTGTATCTTCTGTATGATGGCTTTGGTAGTTCTCCAAGTTTCCGCTCCATACAGTAGAACTGTTTTGACATTTGTATTGAAAGTCCTGACTTTGGTTTTGGTTGAATGTTGTTTGGAGTTGCAGATATTTTTCAACTGTAGAAATGCAGCCCTTGCTTTGCCAATCCGCGCCCTCACATCTTCATCGGATCCACGTTGGTTGTCGATGATGCTGCCCAGATATGTAAAGGTGTTAACGTCCTCCAATACATCTCCATCAAGCGTGATTCGGTTGGTGCATATTGTGTTGCATCGGAGGATTTTGTTTTTTCCTTTATGTATGTTGAGACCTACTGCTGTAGAGACTGCTGCTACACTGGTCGTCTTCTCTTGGATTTGTTGTTGCGTGTGAGATAGAAGAGCCAGAAAATCTGCAAAGTCCAGATCGTCCAGCTGCGTCCTAACTATCCAGTTGATACCGTGCTTCCCTCCAGATGTTGACGTCTTCATAATCCAGTCGATCACCAGGAGAAAGAGAAAGGGTGAGAGTAAGCAACCTTGCCTGACACCGGTCTTCACCTCAAACGAGTCTGTTAGCTGTCCTTCGTGTACGATTTTGCAGTTGAATCCATCATAAGAATTCCGTATGATGTTTACTATTTTCTCAGGCACACCGTAGTGTCGAAGAAGCCTCCACAGTGTTTTCCTATCCACGCTATCGAATGCTTTCTCGTAGTCGATGAAGTTGATGTAGAGTGGTGAGTTCCATTCAATTGATTGTTCCACAATGATCTGTAATGTAGCAATTTGGTCAGTACACGATCGATCCTTACGAAATCCGGCCTGTTGATCTCGAAGTTGGGCGTCTACGAAGTCCTTCATTCTGTTTAACAATACCCTGTTGAAGACTTTGCCTGGTATTGAAAGAAGAGTGATGCCTCTGTAGTTCTCACACTTGCTGAGATTGCCTTTGTTTGGTATTTTGATGAGGTATCCTTCTTTCGAATGTTTGATGGTACTTGTTCCTCATCCCAAATCTTCTTGAAGAGGATGTAAAATATTTTCGCAGTTGCTTCCACATCTGCATTCATTGCCTCTGCTGGAATGTTGTCTGGTCCTGCTGATTTGCCGTTCTTGATTTGTCTGATGGCCATACTGATCTCCTCAATCGTAGGTGCGCCAATATTAATTGGGAGGTCCTTGGATGCTGCTTCGATGTTGGGTGGGTTCAGTGGAGCTGGTCGATTCAATAGTTCCTTAAAGTGCTCCACCCACCTATTTCGCTGTTCGTCAGTGTTGCTGATTATTTTCCCTTCCGTGCTTTTCACTGGTCGTTCTGGTTTACGATAGTTCCCGGCGAGCTTCTTTGTTGTTTCGTACAATTGTCTCATGTTTCCTTCTCTTGCAGCCTTTTCCGCCGTCATTGCTAGATCTTCCACATATTTTCGTTTGTCAGCTCTGATGCTCTTCTTCACTTCCCTGTTTGCTTCTGTATACTCGGCTTGCGCCTTAACTTTCTCTGCTCTTGTTCGGCTGACATTCACTGCTGCCTTCTTGTTCCTCCTTTCTTGAATTTTTTCAAGAGTACCAACAGAGATCCATTCCTTGTGATGGTACTTCTTGTGACCCAGAACTTCGTGACATGTTGAAGTGATTGCCTCCTTAATCCCTTTCCAATTGTTCTCCAATGTTGCTTCCTGTCCATTGAGTATATCGTGGAAGGCCTGGAACCTATTCGTGAGGGCTATCTTGAATTCGTTGAGTTTCACGGTATCCCGAAGAAAGGCCGTATTAAACTTGTGTGATATTGTCTGCACAGTTATCCAGTGCTTCTTTAGTTTCAGTTTCATTTTGGCGACCAGCAGATGGTGATCTGATGCTATATCAGCTCCTCTCTTGGTTCTCACATCCTCCATGGTCCTTCTGAACGTTTTGTTGATACAGATATGGTCAATTTGGTTTTGAGTAGTGTGGTCCGGTGAAATCCATGTGGCTGTGTGAATGCGTTTGAAAAAAAAAAATGTGCTACCGATGACCAGTTTCTTGAAGGCACATAGGTTTGCAAATCTCTCACCATTTTCGTTCCTTTCTCCCAGTCCATGTTGTCCCATGATGTCTTCATATCCAGTGTTGTCCGCTTCAACCTTGGCATTTAGGTCTCCCATCAGAATGGTCAAATCCTTTGATGAGCATCTGTCGACAATTGACTGCAGCCTTTCGTAGAATTGATCTTTAACGTCGTCATTGTAGTCATTGGTAGGTGCATAGCATTGGATGACGTTCATTGTAATGTCCTGTTTCTTTGTTTTGAAGGATGCTTTAATGATCCTCGGTCCATGAGATTCCCATTTTATCGGTGCCTTTTGTGCATGTTTGGACAGCATCAGTGCAACTCCTTGTGTATGTGAAGCATTTTCCTCTTCATGACCAGAGTATAGCAGCAGTTCCCCTGAAGCTAGTCTCAGTTGTCCTCCTGTGTCCAATGCGTTTTACTGATGCCGAGCACCTTGAGGTTGTATCTTTTCATTTCTGCCGCAACTTGAAATAGTCTTCCAGTCTCTAACAATGTACGAACGTTCCATGTACCCAAAAGAATGGTTGCTCTGGTTGTCAGAAGAGGCATCGGCCCTGTGACTTTTGAGGGAACTCGGCTTTCATCACGCGACGTCATAATTCTTGTTCCAACTCCTAGGGCAGAGTTAAAATGGTTTAACCTAGTTTTTGTTGGTTAGCGTTTCATTGACAGGTTAGTTTTTGACGGAATGGGGTCTCGAAACCCATGTCAAACCCTCCTCCTTTACCCGGGCTTGGGACCGGCAGTAGCCCCTAAGGTTCTACTGGCGGAGTTATAATCCCATTTGACTGGTCTCAATCACTGTTTGTCCTAATTTATAAGAAAGGACAAAAGTTTTCTTGTGAAAGTCACAGGAAATAAGTCTAAATAACATGATATCTAAAATATTGGCCTCAATATTCACGGAAGCCCGTGAAAAGCAAACTAGAGAAAACCAGGCTGGTTTTCTACCTGGACGTAGATGTACAGACCAAATATTCACACTACGTCAGGTCCTAGAACAAAGACACGTTCAGACGTCCCACAATAGTAGTATTTCTCGACCTTACAGCGACATTCGACTCTGTTGATTGTGAGGTTCTGTGGCAGTGTCTATCACTAAAAGGTGTACCAAAGAAGTACATTAACCTCATACAAACCCTCTACTCGAACACCACTGGTCGAGTGAGAGCCTATTGCGAACTGTCATCGGGATTCTTTACTTCAAGTGGTGTTCGTCAGGGTTTTCCACTCACCCTATTCTCGTTCAACTTTTTCGTAGACATGCTTTTAGAGTTAACATTATCATCATCTGACCTTTCAGGAGTGAACCTTCTACCAGGAGACACGCTCACTGACTCCGAGTGTGCTGATAACATAGTCTTATTCGGTGAAGCAACAATGCAAGCATATTCGGGATGCCGTTTTCCCCCTCGAAATGGAAAATGTTGCTTCAAGATTGGGTCGCATCGGCACCTGAACTAGTGATAGGGAGTAAAGTAGTTGAGCGTGTTGACCACTTCACTTATCTGGGGAGTCTGATCATTTCTGATGGCCTAGTGACTGACGAAATCTCAGTACGGATACAGAAGGCTCGATTGGCTTTTGCCAACCTGCGTCACCTATGGCGCAGGCGAGATATCCGTTTGTTAACCAAAGGACGAGTGTACTGTGCAGCAGTTCGCTCCGTCCTACTATATGGGTATGAAATATGGTTAGTATGAGTAGAGGATATTCGTAGGTTGTTCGTATTCGATCGTCGGTGTCTTCGAAGCATTGCTCGTTTGTCTTGGGACTGTCGAGTAAACAGTTCTGTTCTTAAGAAACTAGTACCTGGTAGGAACGGCAAATCAATAGATGAAGTAGTGAAACTTCATCAGTTGAGGTGGTTGGGACGCGTGTTGCGTACGCTCACCATCGACTGCCTAGATGAGCAACGTTTTGTGGTGTAGGAGTACGTTGGAAGAAAGCTAGGGGCGGTCAAACCAAAACATGGCAGAAATCCATGAAGTCACTGGCACATGAACTGAGTCATGTTGGTAGATCTAGGCTACCTGGTTGGGGTCTGCGAGACGACGTACATACGAAGTTCTACGTTGTAACTGACTGATATCACTTTGGTAATATGGATTAGTCTTGTATTCACCGCTAACTGTTGTTGGTTCATAAGAAATCAGTTAAAAACTATCAGCTGTTCATTATATTTGACATTCATAATTATTTGTCGAAACAATATTTTGATGATTATTTTTCGGCCGCTTAATAATATATTGCCCAGCCCCGCATAATCCATTGATTTTCTACATATAATGACATTGAATTTTTATTTCGCTTTTATTTTAGGAATTTCTTACCTTCTGAAGCTGCAAGTGAATTGATACACCTTGCCAGTAGTCTGGAGACATATGGTATAGACCCTATTCGTGTTAAGGTAAGAGTGAATTTGGATGTTTCTCTTAAAATTGGAGTTTTTTTGAATATATTTGCAGTGTTATTATTATTACGGTATATATATATATATATATATATATATATATATATATATATATATATATATATATATATATATATATATATATATATATATATATATATATTAGTGGTAACTGAAGGTGGTCCAATCTAAACATTTCATCAGCCCATGAAGTTTCCGATAATTAGATTGAGTCATGTTAATCCATGCAGACTGCTTGGCTTGAGTGACCTGACCTTGGGTGACAGGTCTTAGAGTAGTTTTCAATGGCACACTGGTGCATAAACTCGTTATCTTCCCTTTGAACCTAAATCCCGAGATTTCTTTGCAATTTTTTTCTATATTTAATCTATTTAACAATTGTCCTGATAGTTTTATCTCAAAAAAATACGTATAAAATTTTCGCCTAATCATAGTATATTTTCTCTTCGGTTCTGATCAGTTCTTTAGTGATAACACCAAACTACTTTTAGTTAGATCAAAATACTGGGAAGTTTTCTTGGTCTGTTTCAGTTAGAGAACTGAATATTGGAGCCACTTAATTAATGTTTCTGAGTAAAGTACCTTTGTAGTATGTCAGTCAGTCAGTCAGATGCAACGTAGAACTTCGTACATAAGTACATCAGTTCATGTCGCCATACCACATCAGCACAGAGATGTAATTGTCAATTCAAATCCAATAGTAATAGAGGTAGTAAAGGTATTAGAAGTAATCGGAGAGGTTAGGATTAGAAGATATTATTCAAGAAGTATGATTAAATGAGAAAAGTTTAGAAAGTCAAAACTAGAGGTGTTGAAGAATCCAGAAGATTAGGATTTGAGAAAACACAAAGAATAAATGCACCGGCGCCATTGCGAACGATTTTGAGCCATGTCATTCAAGGTCTCTAACCATCGATTATTATCATCTCGCGGACCCCAACCAGGTAATCGACAATTACCGACATGGCTAAGTCCACTCCTCAATGACTTCATGGATTTCTGCCATGTTTTGGTTTGGCCGCCCCTAACTTTCTTCCAACCTATTTCTACACTACAAAACAAAGCTCGACGAGGCAGTCGGTGGTTAGGCATTCCTAACACATGTCCCAACCACCTCAACTGATGAAGTTTCAATATTTCATCTATTGATCTGCCATTCTTACCTAGCACCCGATTCCTAATAACAGCGTTGCTCACTCGGGTGTCCCACGATATACGAGCAATGCTTCTTAAACACCTATGATCGAATGCCAGTAACCTACGAATATCTTCTACTCTCACAGGCCATGTTTCACAGCCATAAAGTAAGACGGAGCGAACCACTGCGCAGTACACTCGTCCTTTAGTCAGCAAACGGATATCTCGCCTACGCCATAAGTGACGCAGGTTGGCAAAAGCCAATCAAGCCTTTGTAGTATGATGAAATAACCGACTGTTTATATTACTAGGATTGCTAATATAGCCAAACTATAATATTCTACTTGACATCCTTGGTGGATTCGAACTTGTGTGTCATAAAGTTTCATGGTCTAAGCTGTTACCACTAGTATTCAGAGTATATTATCTTTTCCTAATCATTAATTTCATATAAATCACCTTGTAATCAGGCATCAATAATGTGGACTTGATAAAAAAAACATTCGAATTTTAAAACTTCAGTCATGTTCTATAGTAGATGTCAGATACATTTCATCTTTCGGTCGCTTTGTGTTCGTTAACCAAACCAAACACTGTACAGAAATATTTGAAGAAATCTTTTCAGACTTTAGCTGTTACCTGGTTAATGGTTTGGAGTTTATCTATTGTAAGGACCTAATAGAACTAACTATATTAGCTAGAAGACTTGTTCCTTTAAGTTCTATAGTGCCAAGACAATCTGTCATTAGTACTTATAGTTTAATTTTCAAACGCTCAATATTATTTTCAAATTAATGAACATATAATGTAATGTATCACTAGTTTTCACCAATCGGTTCTTGTTTGATAACCTAGTAGTAGAGTTTAAATGATGGATGAACCATTGTATAAAAGAAGTTAACTTAAATATGAAAAGTATTTTTCTTTTTTTTTGATGATGATGAATTATACACTTTCTTTATAAATTTTTGAATGAACATAATCTATTTCTAAAATCGTTCTGTTTTTTTCTTTTCATATAATAATGAACCACATTTCTTTCATCAGTGCTATTTATTTTTTTTTCTTTAAACTAACATGCTCTTCAGTTTTAATAATCGTTGGTAAAAACAATCGATTTCCTTAGGATTTTCATTTTCTTTTTTTTTTAATATTTCAGACAAAAGCATATGGCTCACGACACATTCATATAGGTCTCACTCACCAAGGTGTAGCTGAATTCATAAGCAATCGACGTCAAAAATTGTATCCATGGTAGAGAATCTAGTTTTATTATTATCATTATTATTATTATTATTTTGTGGAGATTTTATTAATTTCCAAAACATGTAGTGTTGTGGTGCATAATTTATTGATTTACTTTTTTTTTTTTAATATTTTGATAATGAATCGTTTAATTTGTGTGTGCATTACGGGGTTGTGAAGATTGTTAAGTTACACATTTTTGAAACCATGAATCGATCAATGTTAGACCACCACCATTAGAAACCTTGAAGCACTGAAAGATGGCCGTTTCGTCCTGGTGTGGGACTCATCATCAGCAGTGCGCATCCACGACTCCTGCACTCCGCAGGATTCGAACCCAGGACCTTCGGTATTGTGCTCGAACGCCCTAACCGTCCAGTGCTTTCAGGTTTCTAATGGTGCGGTCTAACATTGATCGATTCATGGTTTTCAAAAATGTGTAATTTGTATGTGCATAAAAAAATAAATATAATCCAATTAACATGTTTTTTATATTGAATTAAAAATATACTACACAAAACAACAACAACCACTGTATTGAACTCTTTTTTGCAAATAGTTGAATCCCTGATTCATTTTCTTTAGCTTATACTCACTATATGATCACAAATCACTTTGAAACTGTTTCTTTGGGTATTTTGGAATTGCCAAATAAATGATTTTGAGATTAGATGCAAGATAATAGAGGCAAGAAAAGTAAATCAGTTGATTTTACTGAGTCTTCATATATAGTGGAGGGATTTAAGCTTATTTTACGCATGTCTAATCAGCTGGAAAAGGTTCTAATTTTGGATTTTTTACGTTTCCGCTCATAAGCTGATTAGTTGACCGCCATCGGTTGATGTAGTATTTTAGTACTTTATTTTTATAGCTCTCCCATGGACGTTTTTATCAGGTATAAATAAGCTCGATCTGTGTGTTTATCAACCTCATATTTTCTGGGTGCTTGTAGATTACACTTTCTACGCCTTATCAAGACTTCTTGATATAGTTAGCAGGGCTGAGGACAATCGAATTAGAATAGCCTATCATGTGTGTCACTGCATCATTTGTCTTCTCTCTCTTGTTTACCGATTAAGGTGAACTTGTCATTGTTGTTTCAAGCATATCAATTGATGAACATATCAGCAGCATTTAAGTAGTCTTATTGTACTAAACTAAAAAAACGTTTCCATTGTATTAGTTTTATCTCATGTACATATATATATATATTTCCGAAATGGGAACTTGTTGAATATCATTTTCATTATAACTATTTAATTAATTTTATAAATCATGTGTTGATTTGATTATAATTCTTCTATGATTTACACAATATTTTCTATCAGGTCAACTATATCTTGGATGACTTGTAATGGTAGAGATTTTGTTGTTGCAATTTTACAACAAGTAAGTTTCTTTTTTTTTCATTTTATTATTGAACATTGATCAATGTACACTTTAAGATCAGGAATGTTAACTGGGAAAATTTGTTTATTCCGTTATCATCGGTTTTCAATGCATACACAAAATAGAACTAATTCTAATGTGATTAAACTTTATTAGATGCAATTAAAAAAAAAACTTCAACAGTGTTATATTCGTTTTTAAGCGTTAAATAAAAAAAAAACGAAAATGAATACTTCACACTATAGTGTATATAATTTGTTTTAATCCAGTTCCGAGTAACGACTTCGTAGGTTATATGACCATATTTTCATTGATACATTTCAAGTGTCAGTCATCTTTTTGTTCATGAAGCTTAAATAACTAGTGTGTCAAAGTTTACTGTTTGAGCAGTACGTATATTTATGTGTATCACTTCCATCTGTTCATCACCTGGACACAATGGTGATAAAATCTTGACTGTTGTATTCAGAAGGCTTTTTTTTACATTTTACGTAGTATTCATGTTCTTCTTGTCTTTATGTTCATTGGAATTGTTATCGTGTTTTGTTCACTGATCACTTACTTTGCTGATGACTAGTTCTGTTGAAAATATCTTATTTACCTATTCAATAACATGAAATGTTCCCGACCGAAGCTACTACCTTGACGTGGTGGTTCCGCTTGCCTATCGTGATGACCCAACCGAGCTATATTGGCTGCAATATATGTTCCTGAAGGTTCTACCATGCCAGGCAGGTCGATCAGAGAACAGTGAGACTGAAAACAGATACTCAAGGTCTGAGGGCGAAGTCGTACTGCTGACTGCAGAGGGTTTTGACAGCAGTAAGGTGTTTTACCCTCGGATAACCAGCATCTGCAGCGATGCTGCCTTCTCACAAGGAAGGAAGGGTTAGAAAAGGTCGACCCTAAAAATGTCACACCTCACCCTACCTCACGGACTCCCGTCTCCTTGGGTAAGGGTGCCCACTAAGGGCTTTTAAGAGTGGAGATAATATTCAAAAAACCCTTCTTAAAAAGTCTGTGCGTGACTGGCCTCAATGAGTTGTCCCTTGGACTCTGCGGTCACACTCCTAGGTCGTTCCTCAAGAAACAACCTTACATGGTGTGGGCAACCGGGAAGTGACAACCGCCCTCATACCCGTCACAACATAAATTGTTAACTGGTAGATATCTTTCCATCACTTGATAGATTTGGAACTGAACAAAACTTGATACTTACTTCATGACTAAATATGATTATTTAGCCAGGAACTCGATTGATCTAAAATCTTTCAAATCACTCGGTCAGTTACAACGTAGAACTTCGTACGTAAATACATCAGTTCTGGTTGCCAGACCACATGAGCACAGAGACGCAACTGTCAATTTCAATCCCACAATGGGGTAGCCATAGTAGTAGTACTAGTAAGTAAGTAATCGGAGAGATTAGGGTTCGAAGATATGATTCAAGAAGTTTAATTCAGATAAATTTAGAAAGAGAAATATACAGGTGATGAGGAATTGTGAAGATTAGAATTTGAGAGAATACTTGCATCATTGCAAACGATTTTGAGCCATATCGTTCAAGGTCTCTAACCATCGGTTACTATCATCTCTCAGATCACTCGGTGTGAATATATCAAGTGGAACAAACGATATAGTGAAGTTGTTTGTAGTGTTACACTTTCAAGCAGAGAGGTTTTATGCTTATAGAGAAATTAGTAATCAAAATCACTGTATTATTTATTATAACATCATCATCATCAAATATTGACTATCTCAGTTCTGCAGATGCATATTGTTTCTTGTTTCTTATTGTTATGTTTCGGGTTTTTTTGTCTATCCTGTAAAATGACAACTTGTGATTAGATAAAAACACGATGATGTAAGAGTTTAAATTAGTATTAGTTTCTGTGATATGTCTAATTTTTTCAATGTTTCATTCTGTGTTTGAAATTTTCACAGCATTCTGGACGAAAGAAAAAGGTAACTAACTTTTATTGGTCATTTTGTTTGCCTTGGATATGTATTTTATCTTTGTAGTGTAGTCATGGAATTATTATTATTATTATTATTATTATTATTATTATTATTATTACTATTATTATGGTGGCGTTATCATACATTTTGACATGGTGAAGAAAATTTGTAGCTCAGGTGGATGATTGTTGTGGTGTTTCATTCTCTGAACTGGATTTTTCCGTTTGTGGAGCTTTCGTTGTTCTTCTGAACAATATCATCAGCACAAACTTTGAATAGAACTGAAGTATTCGAAACGAAAGCTCCACAAACGGAAACATCCAGTTCAGAGAATGAAACATCACAATAGTTATCATACATGTTTGTTACACATGCCCTAACTATATATGTAAGTAAATGTTGTTTAAAAAAGAGCTGGAATATGCATCATTCACTGTAATGATGATTTATATGTCAACTACTTGATCACAGAGCATGATGTGAGCATTATAGTGTGATAGGGTCAGCGGCTTTTATCTATTGCTATTTTTTTTTCTCTGTTTGTTTTTCACTCAGTTTACTCCTACTATATATATATATATATATATATATATATATATATATATATATATATATATATATATATATATATATATATATTCCCTAAAACCTACCACAGGTAGATGACACAAAAATTATCAAACTCTTCAACTTTTAAGCGAATATTACAGAGTTGTTAAGCATATGTACCAAAACCTTCTTCGCGTGAATCATCATTTGCAAACTAATCCTTATTTGTTTCAGATTTCAGTGTTCTTACATTTAGACTGTTCAAACTTTTCAGTTCACTTTAGGTTACCTACAAATCGCCTTCTGTTCTTATTCTTTATTTCTCGATCTTTTGCCGTCAGACATTATTTGATTTCCTTTTGATATCATATACTACTTATGTGAACTATAAGTAGCGTACACCACACTACTACTACTACTACTAATAGTAATAATAATAATAATTTATATTCTTTTCAAACCATTATCTTCTAAGCATATGTATCACATTCATAAGTAATAGATCGATTGACTTACACACACACTTCTACAAACTATTTCACTGCATGTTTTGTTCGTTTTTTGTTTTGTTTAAATGAAAGCTAGTTTGATTGTCATAGATAGATGGATGATAGCATGGAATGAATGAATGAATAGTAGTAGTAGTTTGTTTCAAGTGGATAAACTTATTCATTTTTTGTCATTATTATATCCTATGTGTTGTTGTTGTATTATCAATATACACCACAGTTTTTGCATGTCAACTTCTTTATTTCTTTCTTTCTGTCATTGAACATCCAAACCCAAATTGTTGTTTGTAGAGTGAGAGGAAAACATTTTCATTAAAGAAAAAAAACTGAATTTTCATCTATCAATTGATAATAGGACATTTTGATCATTAAAAAAAAATGACGCCTCGTCACACATTGGTATTGCAAATCCATTAAAACTAAAATGACACGTTGTTTGTTGTTGTTGGTGTTGTTCATGCTTGAACAACACATGTTGTCCATATTTAAACTAAGCTGATATTACTATTATTATTATTATTATGCTGACAATTCTTTTCTTCTTGCGTTTGTTTCATTTGTTTGTTTGTTTGTCTGTATGTTCGATTGATTCTTTCAAAATTTTCAAGACCAAAAGAAAGTGTTTTCGTGTGTATCAGATAAGGAAATGTGAGTAGAGTTAGTTGTGGAGAGAAAAGAGGTATGTGTAGGTGTAGGAAGGATTTGATTTCGACCCATTTTGGTCTCTCGTGCTGTTACGGGTATGAGGGTGGTTGTCACTTCGCGGCTGCCCACACCGTGGAAGGGTGTTTCTTGAGGAACGTGAAAAGGAAGGTAAATTAGTGTTGGTCTTAGAGACCTGGGAGCGTGACCGCAGAGTCCAAGGGACAACTCCTTGAGGCCGGTCACGCACGGCCATTTTAAGAAGGGTTTTTTGAATATTAGCTCCACTCTTAATAGCCCTTAGTGGGCAGCCCTTACCGACGGAGACGGGAGTCCGTGAGGTAGGGTGAGGTATGACAATTTTAGGGTCGACCTTTTCTAACCCTTCCTTCCTTGTGAGAAGGCAGCATCGCTGCAGATGCTGGTTATCCGAGGGTAAAACACCTTACTGCTGTTAAAACCCTCTGCAGTCAGCAGTACGAATTCGCCCTCAGACCTCAAGTAGCTGCTTTTAGTCTCACTGTTCTCTGATCGACCTGCCTGGCATGGTAGAACCTTCAGGAACATATATTGCAGCCAATATAGCTCGGTTGGGTCATCACGATAAGCAAGCCCGACCACCACGTCAAGGTAGCAGCTACGGTCGGGTTTCGTGTGTATGCTTACTATTTCATTTCTTTCCTGTTTCCTCTTACTACTCCTAGTTTATATGTTGTTGTTCTTGTTGTTGTTGTTGTTGTTGTAGGCAGGATTGTTTGTTTTTAGTGTCCTTATATAAAAATGCTTGCATTATAAGTAAGTTCTATATGCGAATTATTATGCAGAGTGATTTTCGCAATGTTCTGCTTATATATATATATATTTTTGGTGTACTTTTTTATTTGTTCTAATTATTATGCTTCCTAGTGTTTGTTTAATTCGTTTGTTTGTGTTTTTTTCAAAGAAATAAAAATTCATTGTTCAATCAAACTGTTTAGCCTTTTTTGTGAAATTTCATTGTTTTTTTTGTTTTAATTTGATTGATAAATTCATTCTCAATTAATGATAATTAATTTACACATTTGAAATCATGAATCAATTAATGTTAGACCAAAAATTTGAAACCTGGAAGCATTGAAAGACGGCCGTTTCGTCTTGGTATGGGACTACTCATCAGTGGCAGTGCGCATTAATGACTCCTGCCACTGGCAGGATTTGAACCCAGGACCTTCGGCCTTAGCTCTGGATCACTGAGCTGGTATCTAACTGTGTTAATAATGTCTAACTTCGATCAATTTACGGCGCGTTTCGCAACCCTCCTACACTGTCTTCGGTAGTTACTGTCTACATCCTCGCTGAGCTCTCTCAAATCCTAATCTTCTGGATTCGTCAACACCTCTACCTTTGTCTTTCCAACCTTATCTCACTGAATTATACTTCTTGAATAGTATCTTCAAACCCTAGTCTTCTTTATTACCATTAATACGTCTACTATCTTTATCACTATGTGATTTGATTTAACATTTGCATCTCTGTGCTAATGTGTTATGGCTACATGAACTTATGTACATACGTACGAAGTTCTTACGTTGCAACTGACTGACTGTCTACATCCGAACACTAATGAAGAACTTCACTGGTGATGACTTCCCATTGAAAAATAAATCATCCTTGTTGTATACTGTGATTTGAATTTGAACAACACAGCTAAAATAGTTGAATGTATAGGATTGAAGCAGAACAATTGTGTAGAAATTTTTTCCTACTTAGTTTTATTAGTGTTTATGTGTATACGTATATTGTGACAAATAACAACAATGTTTGTGTTAAACAGGCGCTTACTTACTAATTATTATGACTATGTTTATGATTATTATTACTACTATCGCTTATATTCTGTTTTTACAAATGGTGTATATTTCACTGTAGATTAATTTTCTCATTCTCTGTTTGTTTCACTGTATCTCGTTTAAACTAATTTGAACCGATTTTTTTTTTAATGCATTAAATAATTATGCTTTTGTGCTTTTTTTGTGTGTGTTTTTTTCTCTAATTACATCGATATGTGTAATGCATTTTGAACAATTTGTTCAAAAAATGTTGCAAAATGTTGCTTCAAGACTGGGTTGCATTGGCACCTGAACTAGTGATAGGGAGTGAAGTAGTCGAGCGCATTGATCACTTCACTTATCTCGGGAGTCTCATCAGTTCTAACGGCCTGGTGACTGACGAAATCTCAGCTCGGATGCAGAAGGCTCGATTGGCTTTTGCCAACCTGCGTCACTTATGGCGTAGGCGTGATATCCGTTCACTAACCAAAGGGCGGGTGTACTGCGCAGCAGTTCGTTCCGTTCTCTTATATGGCTGTGAAACATGGCCGTTAAGATTAGAAGATGTTCGTAGGTTACTAGTATTCGATCATAGATGTTTAAGAAGCATTGCTCGTATATCGTGGGACAGCCGAGTAAGCAATGCTGTCGTTAGGAAACGGGTGCTAGGTAAGAATGTCCGATCAATAGATGAAGTAATGAAACTTCATCAGTTGAGGTGGTTGGGACATGTGTTACGTATGCCTAACCACCGACTGCCTCGTCGAGCTTTGTTTTGTAGTGTAGAAATAGGTTGGAAGAAAGTTAGGGGCGGCCAAACCAAAACATGACAGAAATCCATGAAGTCATTGACGAATGGACTGATCCCTTTTGTCGGTAATTGTCAACTACCTGGTTGTGGTCCGCGAGATGATAATAATCGATGGTTAGAGACCTTGAATGACATGGTTCAAAATCGTTCGCAATGGCGCCGGTGCATTTATTCTTTGCGTTTCTCAAATCCTAATCTTCTGGATTCGTCAGCACCTCTACCTTTGTCTTTCTTGAATAATATCTTCAAACCCTAGTCTTCTTCCTTACCATTAATATCTCCACTATGCTTATCACTATGGGATTTGATTTGATATTTGCGTCTATGTGCTAATGTGATGGTATGGCAACGTGAACTTATGTGCATACGTACGAAGTTCTATGTTTTCAACTGACTGACTGACTGTGTAATGCATTGGTTAATAATGTACGTTTTCTTTTGTTTTGTTATTTGTTAAATACTCTTTTTTATTAACACGCATAGACAACAACAACAATTCATTATAAATGTGATAATAAATCAGTTGCACAAGCTTTATGGGAATGGGCATCCGATCGACAATTGTTTTTCACGTACGTATCATTCCACTAGTAGTAATAATAATAGTAATAATATTGATAATAATATTTTGAAAATAATCATTACAGAATTTCATGCCAGCAGTTTTTTTATTTTATATATACGGTAATGATCAGTTTGATTGAATTTCAATATCAACCGCGGAATTTTATACCTGCTGTATTTCTTCTTATGCATGTGTTTGAGTGTGTATTTTCGATTATGTTAATTGATTGGATTCAAATATTATATTCATATCATACTGATAGATAGATAGATAAATATTTTCAGTGGTAATTATCTTTCATTAATTTGCTAGTATGTTTTTTTTTGTAATCAATAATGCGATCGATTATATGGTAAATGTTAAATAAACCCAATAATAGGTCGACTAAGAGTTGATTAATAGATTGTAAAATATAAATTAAGGTATTATTTTCTACCATGAGACTTCATGATAGTGTACATCTTTGATTTCATAGAGTGAGTGAATCCAAGACTTTTATCTTTTCTAGCGAATACTTAACCTTTAGATTGGTATCAATTTACTTTACTGTATAGCCAAAATATGCTCACTAGCAGTGATGCAAATCGATTTAAGGGTAAGTGTGTAATTAAACCAACAGGGATTATTGGCTTACCATCATTCTAAAGGTTAACAACTACGACCTGGGACCTTGAACTTTTAGCTTCGATCCCTTATGGAATCGAATCGTAGGTGGAGGATATCTTTAGTGAGCTTTACTCTAGAATAAGGCACTTATCTATTGCTAACCGATTTCTTTTGGTCGTCTAAATAAACTATAAGGGAAAGTAGTTTGGATAATAAATGTTAGTTATACTAGCACTATTTGTACTAAATAATCATGGTAATGTGCTTTTTTGTAAAACCATACCATAGAAAATAATCCATACTTTCTTCTTGATTTAAATACACAACGGATTTAACGAATTTCGGCTTAGTCAAATTAGTGACGTAATTTGAATTCCTTTAAAATGGCATAATTTTATGCGCTTTGACAGAATAAATTGACAATGCATATTCGAATCGTAATCTTCTGCATTTCTGCTAATACTTCTACTACTATCGCTACCACTATGGGATTTGAACTGATAGTTGCGTCTCTGTGCTGATACGGTATGTATGTCAATCTGAACTTATGTACTCATGTACATAGCTCCACGTTTTAACTGACTCACTGATTTTGATGCAAATATACACCTATCTCTCTGAGTATTAGTAACTATTTCTGTTTCTTTAAAAATTTCAAACAAATGAACATATTATATTATCTACTGTTCTGAGCTAGGTGATAGTGTTATGTTAAGCTTCATATGTTGTACAATTACTACATAAACTTACGCATCAAGTTGTTTGTCATCTGATAGTGTCATTTATGTCATTTCTAGAGTAGTCTTAAATAAAAAAAAACATTTATTTAATGTGATATACTCTTGAACTGTGACCATTTATAACTACTGAATAGTTTAATTAAGTGTGATATGATGAACATAAGTACAAAAATCATTGGTCTCTGTCATTTTTTTCCCCAAATTAATTATTTGTTATTTTACATTGAAATTATCAATCAATCAGTTATTGTTAGACCACCATTAAAAACCTGGAACCACTGGACGGCTGGTATAGGACTTATCAGCAGTGCGTATCCATGACTCCTGCCACTAGCAGGATTCGAACCCCAGGACCTTCGATCGTGCGCGCAAACGCTTAACCACTAAAACGTCATGTTTATTATTTAACAAATAATTCATAGTCATACTTTTCTGACTGGACAAAGATTTGATGTCTACCACTTTTTTTAATTGCTTAACCACTGGTACTTGCTACTTGTGCAGACCTAAACAAATATTAATCAGGTTTGATGCAAAAGAGGCAAAGTAAAACGACAAATTGTGATTTTTATGATATACCAATAATGGTTCCACAACTGACAAGAAATACACTGGATATGATATATATCATTCATTTATCTATCATCTGGTTAATAGTCAGAGTTGAATACATTAAGTTGGTCAGTACTTGACATTAATTAATCATTAACATAATTTAATTTGTGTATACAGTTTACAATATCAATAGAATAATAAACTACTTCACCTGACAAATATCTGTGGATTTCTGAATGACATTCCAGTAAATTAAAGTTTAACTCGCATATGTGTGTATAATCAGTTATTTTGGCCCATTTAGACATCCCCTGTAGTTTTAGTATTTTATCAACCTCATTTCCGTAACTAACCTTACACTGTTCATTATACATAACAATTTTTATTATTACATAGACCTCCTTTTATTATTATTTATTTTCAGTCTAGATAAATCTTCATCGGTCAAACCGGTTAAATCTAAGAAAGCACTATTTCAACGAACTAAAACTTTTACATTCTCGTAAGTGTCATTTATGTGTGCGCCTATTCTTATTTGAATGTCAGTTTGTTTTTTTCTTTCATAAATCAAATAGTTAATGAATTTATTAAAAGATTAAAATTTATTAAAATATTATATTTTCATTGTATTTTCTTGTATTTCCAGTGGTCGATGTCGTCGTGAAGTTATTGGTAGACCAATGTTAACTACTAGTCTACCTACTGATATATGGTAAATGTATAAATTGACTATTTTTGAATTACTTTGTTTGTTTTTCTTGAAATCAAAACAATTCCTGTTTTCAACAAATGATTCTAACTGTTTTGTTTTGTTTGTTTGTTTTTTCATTTTATGTACCATGATTATCATCCTGTAATAAGTTTCTTTGAATAAATGGCCTAAAACAAATAGAATGAACACTTTCAACAATATATATATATACATATATATTATTGCGTTCGTCACTAAGTATGCTTGAGGCTATTACGAGTTCACCTTAGTCGATAAACACGAATCAGACAATGAACCAGCGTCCAGGTAGGCTACCTTGAATCCCAAGCTGCAAAACAGAAGACTTGGTAAGCGTAGAAAGTATATTCTACAAACACCCAGCAATCACAGTACAATCAAGCATACAACTCTCGTTTATTTATACAACATAGGAACGTCCTTGAGACAGTTAAGAAAGTTGCATACTAAAATACACAGCAGCCAATCACAGCCATGGATTTTCCTGGTGGGAATTGAAATCTCAAGGTCATCTGATCAGCCCATGCTGGCAAACGTGAAAACCAAAATACGGCATTATCAAGCGAATTTTGGTGATCTAACATCCCCAACATATATGTTGTCTGATTGAGTAGATTTTAATGAAATTTAAAAGTAAAAAATAATCATTGCTTCAACAAATAGTTTGTTTTTGTCCAACGAATTGATAATTACCGACTCAGTGATCCCAAAGGTGGTTAGACGTTCGTGCGCAAGACGGAAGGTCCTGCATTCGAATCCGGCGAGATGCAGGAGCCATGGGTGCGCACTGCTACTGATGAGCCCCATATCAGGACGAAACGGTCGTCTTTCAGTGCTTCCAGGATTTCTAATGTTTGGTCTAACATTGATTGATTCATGATTTTATATGTGTAACTTGACAATCTTTACAACCTCATAATGAAATGGATGATTATTAAAACTATATACAGTCACAAATACGGTACTTATCTTCTTATTTGTTTGTTTTGTTTTTCTGAATTGATAATAATAATTTGTTTAATTTGATAACTAACCAGCTGAACTAAACAACAGCACACAAAAAAGAACAGTTATTCTTGGGTAAGCAATTTAAAAAATATCTTAGACTTGTTTGACTATTCACCAAGACAATGAATAACAATTAGTAGTAGTAATTCAGTGTGAAAATAGAACATCAATCGTTTGGTGGTTGACAGTAAATAGTCGTTAGAAAAAGAATTTGATGGCTTTGTAAAACAAGAAATCATAATTTTATGTATGTATTCGATTTTTCTTTTTCATTGATTTCATTTTTTATTTTTTGTATTTTACATAAAGTGCAATTTCTGTCGCTGAAGAAAATCTTTCACTTAATAATAATCCAACTGGAAATAATCCATTCAGTTTAAGTATGGGTGCTCTTACAAATGATATTGGTCGTAGTAGTAGTATTATGAATGCACCTATTGAAAATAATAATATTGAAGATGGTGAATCAACTCAAACTGCTCCAGTGATTACAATATCAGGATTTTCATCACCATTAGGTGGTCGTTCACAAGCTCCAATATTTTCAGAATCTTCAATACAATCTAATATTACTACTAGTAATTCAATTGTGGAAAGTGTTGAAAATCAAGAAATTTCAAACAATCAATCGACTCTTTCATCATCAAGCAATGTTATTTTTAATTCAAATCAATTAGTTCCTCTTTTTACTAATTTACCTAAACGTCGTTTTAGTACAGAAGCTAGAAAAAGACAACGTGAACTCTGTGAGTGTTATTATTTTTAACAACAAAAATATTTTCCTCAGTTTCTCTGTGTAACTATAAACTTTTCTATCCACCTTTTAGTTTTATCGATTATTGGCTACATTGAGCTAATAGGTTGATTTATATTACAAACATCTGTAGATGAAAGCAATTACTAGTGTTAGTTTTCTACTTACTCCTAACAAGCTCTTCAAAATATCATGTATACCTTCAATCAGTTTACTTGTCAACACAGTATGTTGCTGTTTGATTTTAGGCTATATCAAAACTTGTATACTATCGGCTAATTTTCGTAAACGAAGCTACAAGTGTTTTTTATTGTTAGTATTGTCGTTGGGAAGGTGCACTGTAAGAATGTAAATATTATCACCTGTATATATATATATAGTTTAAAAATGCTGACTCTGCTATTTAAATTAACAGAAAAGTTTGTTTTTTACCAATTTGAATGTGTATATGATTAACATATTGACCTTTGAATATCTACAGGGAATAATTAATTTGCATTACGGGGTTGTGAAGATTGTTAAGTTACACATTTTTGAAACCATGTATCGATCAATGTTAGACCACCATTAGAAACCTGGAAGCACTGAAAGACGGCCGTTTCGTCCTGGTATGAGACTCCTCAGTAGTGCGCATCCACGACTCCTGCACTCCGCAGGATTCGACCCCAGGACCTTCGGCATTGTACGCGAACGCCCTAACCGTTAGACCACTGAGCCGGTATCCAACGGTAATAATGTCTAACTTCACGGAGTTGCGCAACCTCATACACAGTCTTCGGTAGACACTGCCTACACCCGAACAGGTTGAACTTCACTGGTCACGTCTTCCCACTAGAACTCAGAGAAGATTCCTCTCGAAGCTAGTCACTAGTGAGCACAGGTAATTTGCATTACAGGGTTGTGAAGATTGTTAAGTTACACATTTTTGAAACCATGTATCGACCGTACAGTGCTTCCAGGTTTCTAATGGTGGCCTAACATTGATCGATACATGGTTTCAAAAATGAATAATTAATTGTTGAAGATATTCAAAATTATCTTTCAACGTCATTAAAATTCACTAGATTTGACTCCTTTTTTTATTACTATCATGGAGATTTTCTCCTTGTTGTTATGTCACTTTTTTTCATTATGTTGATATTTTTGCACTGATATGTACAGAGCATGTACACAAATGCCATCCGTCTGTCTCAGTCATATCTAATTTTCTCAGTATGATCTATAATTTATGGAAGTTTTGAATGGATTTTATCGTATGGATAGGGGAGGGTTGATCAATTCTGTCAATTGTATATGAGTGAGAAATAGAAACAAAAATTATCTTAACATTCCGTAAGTTGTAATAACAACTCCGATACTGTATACATCAGTTACTCTCAAACACCAATGTTCCTGAACGATATTTATTCAGAGAGATAAAAGAAGTCTAAATTTACAGCCAGTTAAACCCAGCTTATATATCGATCAATTTCAGTGATTATTAGCTATGTAATTGATTAGCTGAACCAGCATCACTTGAATGAACAATAACAGTACACTAAAAACCAGTGAATAGAATTTACTTTCAATAGATATACAGTTTTGAAAATTGATTCTTTCTTAAATGTTTCATTTGCGACTTGAGCGTTCCTTACAGAATCATTGTTAAACTGAAACCGAAGGTCCTACATGCGGATGTTGTAGATACTCACTGTTGAAGAGTTCCATACTTTCAGGTACCCGATGGTGGTCTGTCTTGGAACAGTTTATGATTTGAAAGAAGTTCAACAACTGCATACTGAGATAAAAGTCGTTCTAAACTGTTAATGATAGTGAACATACTGTAGTCACTGATATATCTTTCATTTGTAAATTTTCTTGTCAATATTGATTACTGTTCTTCTTTACTTAGTGCGAAAACAATCCAAATATGGATTATATCAACAGGATCATTTAGATTTATTCGATACTGATGATGATGAATGTGACTATGACGATACAACATCAGAAGCTGCAGTGGAAGCTATAAATTCTGCTGCTAAAGCTGGAGAAGCATGGTTAACCAATGAACTAGAAAAGGTGAGATAAAAAAACAAAAAGAAGAGAGATTATATTCACAATTACCTTATTTTTAACATTTTCTTTTTATGTAACTTTCATAAACGCTAGCGTTGTTATGTCATTGTGATGACAATATAATTACACATAAGATTTTCGGTACAGTGAGATGTAACTAAAAAAGTACGAAATTCATGTTATAGTGTTGGAGATGTTAGATCCCCAGAATTCGATTGATAATGCCTTATTTAGGTTTTCATGTTTGCCAGCATGTGCTGATCAGTTGACCTTGAGATTTCAATTCCCACCAGGAAAATCCATGGCTGTGATTGGCTGCTGTGTATTTTAGTATGCTATTTTCTTAACTGTCTCAAGGGACGTTCCTATGTTGTATAAATAAACGAGAGTTGTATGCTTGATTGTACTGTGATTGCTGGGTGTTTGTAGAATATACTTCTACGCTTACAAAGCCTTTTATTTCGACTTTGGGTATTCAAGGTAGCCTACCTGGACGCTGGTAAAAGTCTCGTTCGCGTTTATCGACTAAGGTAAACACGTAATAGCCTCAAGCATACTAAGTGACGAACTTATCATATAGATTACCTTTTGTTGTGGACGTCAGATCCCCAGAACTCACTTGATAAAGGTCCTAATTTTAGATTTTTCATTTTTTCGCGCATGATCTGATTAATTGACCTTGAGATTACATTTCCCACCCTGCAAATCCTTTACTATCATTAGTTAATATACTATTTTAGTACGCTTTTTTGTTACTCTCCCAAGGACCTTTCTTTCATATATAAATAAACGAGATTTGTGTGCCAGTTAACCTCGATTTTCTGGGTGGTTGTAGAATACACTTTCTTGTTATGACTTCTTCCTCTACTTAGTGGGGCTTTGAGACGCTCTAATTAGAATAGCCTAATATGTCACTATCGTTTACTGACTAAGGTGAACTCGTAATAGTTCAAGCACATCAATTTGGTGGCAAACATAACACTATTAAAATTACCCTGAAAAAATGAACTCCATTTTCAGCCAATCAGAATGCCTGAGATATATTTAAATAGATTGAGAAAAACTAAACTTGAGGAAAATACCATGAACTCATTGTATTTCATAACTGTTCATTACCTGCAGACGGCGTAAAGTTGTAATCAATGATATTATCAGGATAAAAAAGCTTTTACCAACGGGAATTAATGAAGTTCAATTCAAAATAACAACAGAAAAATATAATGATTTTTTTAAATAGAAAAAAAAAACATTTTTAACATAAAAGTTTATATCGATTGGCATTTGTATGTTGTATATAAGGTCATATAACGAAGGGATTAGTGTTTGCTAACCTGAGCTCAGGTTATATAGTTTTTTGTTAGTATAACATGTTAACTGTTGCTTTAAAGTAATAACCTCAACAACATTTGCTCAATGACCTTCGTTATTAACGAATTGACTGTTGTTACTGTTAATTTGCTAATTTTGTTACGATCCCGATATCATCGGATGCTACTATAAAAACTGTGTTGTTCCATTTCACACACTAGTTTCCTTTCTATTGAGTCCATAAAACTAATTTGTGATAAAATTAACTTAATCATTCCATAATTTACGATCACTGTGGGTCCAAACAAAATTCCGTTTTAGCTATTTACTCCTGTTGACCCCTAAAAGGGCATAGGCCACCGACCAGTATTCTCCAGTCTACTCTATCCTAGGCTTCCCTTCCCAATTTTTGTTCATTCTCCTCATGTCTGTCTCCATTTCTCGACGTAATGTGTTCCTTGGCCTTGCTCTTTTCCTTTGACCTTGAGGGTTCCAAGTGAGGTCTTGTCTTGTGACGTAGTCAGATGTTTTCTTCAATGTGTGTCCTGTCCACCTCCAGTGCGTGTTCCTGATTTACAATCTTGTTAACTAATTTGCCATCTTTACCTAGTACCGTATGTTAAACTCCGGCATTTCGCTCACTTAACGGTCCTAATCGACGTCAGCAATACTTAGAAGTTATTTATGATCGAATTTTAATTTTACTTATGTTCTGTTCTATCTCCTCTAACAAACTAATCACTTCCTCGTTATCATTTTAAATCATTCAAGTTTATGTTTATCAACGTTAAGCGTCTTAGTAACTGAATATTAGTAAGTTTCGCTCATTTGTTTTTTACTTAGCTCTCAATACGCTACAAGCTATATTCATTATTTGAATTTTTAGATTTCGCGCAAAACTCCAAGACTTATTTTGTTAAATCTGATTTATTCATCGATAACGTATAATTTTACCCTACTTGTTAACTAATAGCTAATACATGAGTACTATAATGTCTTTTGTTTCTTTTATACTACACAATATATGATACGATTAGAACTGATGAATACGTAAAATTATCAATGTAAAGTATTTCTTTTAAGATGCTTAAATGAATTGATAAATGTAACCAGTAAATCAACACTCAATCATTAAGCATTGTATACCACTTTTTTTAAATTGATTTTTTGCACTAACTCAATGTTTGTTTATGTACATATATATTTCTCATTATTAAAATTTTTTTTCCCCTATTTCAATGTTTTCTATTTTCTTTAAAGGATAGCGAAAAACACATATCACCTTCACCTGTTAAATCATGGTTTAGTTTTCTTCATTTATCAAATACTCAAAAAGAAAATAAACAAACTACTTCTGTTGTTCAAAAGAAGAAAGATATTCACAACACTAATAATCATTCATCAATTTCAAATATCACACAGAATAATGATACACCTGATACAGATAGTAATGATTCAGAATCTTCTGTTGAACCTGTATCAATTTGGCGTTTTGCTGCTATATCTGCTGGTTTCATGACTCTAGCTTCAATTTTCGGTTTAGCACTTATTCTGGAAGCTGAAGTACATTCACCAATTATGGCATCAATACGTGGTCATCCATGGTTTTTAGATTTGGATTCTCGTTTTTATCGACCTATGCGATCAGTTCTGCTTGGTTTTTGGCGTCGTTAATATCATATTTGATCGATATGATATATATAACTTGTTTATCTAAACTAAAACACCAATCATAATATATATTTATCTAATTTTGTCTGTTTTTTTTTGTTTCTAAACAAGTAGTGTTTTTTTTCTTGTATAGATTTGCATTTTTCAGCTTTCATTTAAAAAAAAACGTCTCACAGTTTATTTGTTTTCAGGTTTACATATAGAAAATCTTTTATGCATAAATAATATTTATTGTGCTTTCTTTTTTCAATATTATCATTTCTTATTGATGTCATTTGTGTTTTTGTTTTTTTTTCTACTATTCTCTCATCATTTTATTTATTTATTTTATGATTTAGTCCTGTGTTGTTATTGTTTGTTTATTATTAATTAATGTTTTACAAATCATTGTAATGAAAATCATCATGTTGAGTTTGGTTTTTTGTTTTTCTTACTGCTTTCGAAGTTTTCGATCGGTTTATTGATTTTTTCTGTGTGTGTGTGTGTGTGTGATCATGATCAGTTTTCGCGCGGTGATTTCAGCCTTTCTCACATAAAATCAATAATATTTGTGTTTTGTAAACAAACATCATTTTTTAATAAAATGCATTTACAATATAGAAAGAATTGTGTCAGCATGAAAAGAGGAACTCCATCAGTAGTATAGTCTACTGATCTGTTTTTAATTATTTATGTTTAACTTGTGTGTGTGTGTGTTTTTTTTCTCATGTTTTCATTTCATTATATTCATCTGTTATTATTTTCGAAATCCTCGCTCTTTGTAGTTGTTTTTTTGTGATAAACTATATGTTATGTTTCATTACAATTTAAATTAATATTAAAAAAAATCTCTGTGCCTAAACAGGGTTATTAATTATTAATTAATTAGGAGGATTTATAATACAATCTAGTTGTCAATATTTGGGAATATGTTCATGATTATTATTCTTATTTTATGAGCATTAGGAGTAGGTAAGTACCTCAATATTGGTTGCTAGATGTACAAGTTGAAGAAATTTTGGTGTTCTGACCGAGATTTAAATCTACGATAATATATCAGATGGTTAGAGATAGTTGACTATAAACCTTGGACTTGAGTTTCCTACTTGTCGGCATCTATCCATTCTGAGGGGAATGATGCTCTTTGTATGGTTGAAACACATGTCACTTGGTTTTCCAGCCTGAGACGTTACTCATGAACTTTTCAGATCATAAATGATCCCTTGTAGGACGGATATATTACATTTCATTGGTCATTGAGTCGTGTCAAATGTTATGTTTTCTTGGTTCTTTGATGTTTATAAAATTCAACTGATAAAAGTTACAATATGGCCACTCGTGTCTAGTTCTCTTTGAAGTATAGGCGCGGTTATCACTGCCCGTGCAAGGAAACTGAAGTAGCAGTAACCTGAGCTAGCTGGGAGCTTGACTTTAGCGACAAAGGGATAACCTTCCCGTTCCATGTTCACATTAGAACTTACACTATCACCTTGTATATCCGTCGTAGGGATATCGTCAACGACATACGAGGTTGAGTTAATCCACTTTGGTTTTTCATATAAAAAGAACGATATCGTGATTCTTGACTAAGGACTGTTGATTGGCCTACTGTTAATCTCATGGTTTCAGTGGCACTGAGCTTCTTCCGACTGGTACTGTTTTAAACTTTCAACAGAGTCAAGAATTTGTGTCTTTCTACGGAATAATGTAAATCTGATCACTCCGTAACTAGGGAGAGGGTTATGGCTGATAATGAAGGTGGAAGCGGTATCTAGCGATGAAGTTGAGAATTGACTGTGAATTAAATAATTTCGTATGCTGTTAAAGGTATGGTAGTAGCTGTCACTCCCAAATCGCTCACACTATGGAAGAACAGTACTTCTTGGGGGAATTGGAAAGACGATAATGGTTGGCCTAGTGACCACAGTGTGTGTGCAACAACTGCTTTAGGTAGTTCACATGGTCTAACTGTGTGAATTTCGTATTACATTAACACTAATTAAGAAAGCCTAACTGATGGAGAGGGGAATCTAGCCAACATAACTGTGTCGGTTCATTACAACAGACAAGTCCACCCACTATATCGTGCTAACAGTTTCGGTCAAGGTTGAAGCTATCATTGTGAGTGACTTAACAATGTTAAGCTACTAGGCTAGGTATTGGCAAACGATTGATCAAATCTCTCTTCTGAAATGATTTGTAATTTTTAAGAGCTCAGATTAACTTGTATTTAAATTTACAATGTAAATATGAAGTATTTTCCTAAGCAAATAATATTCGAAAAAGCCATCATTGTTAAAGTCGATAACATAGGTAGCCTACTCTATTCACCATTTTTATTATTTGACTCTATCAATGTTTATTGAATCAAACAAGAAAATTGAATATTTGCGATCAAATAAATTCTGTAAAAAAGAAACTGGTTTTAACTGATTAAGTAGTGAATAAATTATATTTGATTGAAGACTTTAATACAATCCAATATGATGCGCACTGCTGAAGAGTCCCATACCAGGACGAAACGGCCGTTCAGTGCTTCCAGGTTTCTAATGGTGGTCTAACATTGATCGATTCATGGTTTCGAAAATTGTGTAACTTACCAATCTTCACAACCCCTGTAATGCAAATTCAATATGAGTATAATAAGTGTCATCTTTATAAGATATTTCTGATGAAAATGCACAGTTAGTCATTTCAACTCACTACTTGTGGATGAAAACATCAAGAACATGAAACAAACATTTTGAAAAATCTAGTGAAACCTGTCATTATTCTTTGCTTGTACAGCAGTTCTTTGTCAAATGTAATTAGTAGATAATTTGAGATACAACTAAACATGAAGAAAACACTTGTAAGTTTAAGAAAAATATTTTATTTAAAAAAGCGCTTGTCAAATGAAAGGGGAATTTTATCTCTGAAACTTTATTCTGTTATGCTCGACTCTAAGTATGCTTAAACTATTACGATTTCACCTTAGTCAAATAACGAGAACAAACAATGAACCAGCGTCCAGGTAGGCTACTGTGATCTGATCCCTTGAGCAAAAGGTATCAGCAAGAAGTCTTGATATAGTGTAGAAATTGTATTCTACAAACACCCAGCCAGCACACAATCAATCCAAGCACTCAAATTGCGTTTATTTATACTCTATAGAGATGTCCTTGGGACAGTCACAAAAATAGCACACTAAAATGACACAGTAACCAATCACAGCCAAGGATTTTCCTGGTGTGAAATGTGATCTCAAGGTCAACTGATCGGTCCATAAAATAAATCCAAAATCTAACATCCCCAATATATTCACAAGCACAGATGAAATATCCAATTAGTTTTCCAAAGGAGGTTGAGACTTGAACTGATTGCCAGTGCCATTGACACTATTGATTTCAGATTATGAATCAGCGAAAAAGATGATTACACTGGTAATTGATTCACAAGAAGTAACCCCTTAATTCTCATCTAACAGATATGAGTGAACTGAACCGATGGTCAACTGACTGAGGAGTCTAAATACTATTTATAAACATCTATTCAAATAAAATACCATTGTAACTGCTTATTTATCAGATAATAAATTAGTAATCACGAATAAAAATGTAAATCGATAATCACGCATTAATGATTTTCCACTTCTTATTCGTTCGTTATATTCTGTGCAAACTGTGATCAAATAATGAATCTAATGAAGAACGATCAATAACACGGAAATAGACCAAAGGTTTCCTAAAGATTTCATTTTTATTATCTAGCATAAAGATATACTAGACAGGATGTCAGTTCACTGAAGCAAGTATCTACATTTTGTAACTTGACTGTTAGTATTCTGTTTATAACCTGTTATCAATAAGCATTTACGACCTCACCGTCATGAATCTAACCCACGAACATTAAGCAAGAGCTTGACCTTCATGATATTATCCAATTATCTTCTGCTATCTTCAGTAACTGACTATCTCACATCCAATACAGTTAAACTCCTATTGGTCATGGCATCTCTCTACCATTCTGAATGTTCATTCTCAAAGTTACTAGTTACTAGCACATGAAAATTATCAATATAAAAGAGCTTGTGAAAGTTGCTGAATATTACTGATACCATCATCTAACTTAAGTAAAACATCCATTGGATAAAACTCTAAAGCATTCTTAGTATATAAGACCTTCATATTGTCAACTCATCAGTGTAGCGATCTAAGTCACACTACTCAATATGTGTAGAGTATATATAGTAAAGTATATTTTTTATAACCTTTTTTCATTTAAACAAATTTAAAAAAACATCTTCATTTCAAAATCTTATCATATAAAAACAAAAATAATAATAATAACACATCCGCTAGCGTAAAATATATAAACCTCATCTTACAAAATCGCCATACTACTTATAAGTAATATATGACGTGAGTAAAAACGTAATGTCTGGCAGCAGAAGATGGGGGGAGATCAAGAAAGGAAGAGTGGGAACACAATGGAATTTGTATAAAACGCATGAATAGTGAAATGTCAGATGATGGATTGAAGATTTGCAAATTAACGATGTACTATATGGTTTTCCTATTTTACTGAGTAACTCTGTAATTTTCGTTAAATACAATTCGGTTGCCCTCACACCTGTGTTCTCTCCTTCACTACAAAACAACTAACATATTAGAAAATCACTATTTATTTCAACTCTATTATTATTATTATTATTATTACTCCTAATCCAAAATTAATCTAAAATAAAATTACATGAAATGACATTTAAAATGAAAGAAAATAATTTAAGGACAATTATCATAATAATAATAATAATAATAATAATAATAATAATTGAATTATTCTTTTTTTTCATTCATTCATTAGTTGTTGATTTCATACTAGGAAATATAACAATAAATAAAATTAATAAAATAATTAAACATGTAATAATAAAAGTACCAATAAGTAGAAATGCAAAAATTCTTTTTTGTTTAAAATAATTTTTTATTAAATCACATAATTTTGAATGTAGTGGCAGTTCATCGATAGTTGGTAAAATATGCACACGATTTTGCCCAAATGTTGTACTGATATTTGATGAACATATACTACTATTAGTTATAGTGGATTTTTTACTAAAACTATGATGATGACTTGGTTGACTTTTTTGTTGATGTATAGTAGAAGTTGATTCTTGTAATGATAATCGTTGTTCAATAATATCAACTGGAAATGCTAATACATTCCATGGAGTAACACAAATTAATGACTAAAATGAAATCAAATGAAGTCAAAATGAAATAATAGAAAAATAAACGAAATTATTGGTAAACAGCGAAAAAAAAAGTGAATTTTATTGTTTTGTATTGTAAAATCCAGTTGCATATAATGATTTACACATTGAATTGTTTTTCAAGGTAATTGTGATTTGATTCTAAGCAATTGGCTTTTTTTCGCTCTAAGCTTCACATCACTTATTAACTTTTGAAAGGGAACTTCTGGAGATTTAATAATTACTAGTTTATCCAAACAACTTTCAACCAAAACCAAAATCAGCATTTTCAATACAAATGTCAACACAGTTCTACTGAATGAAGCGGAAACTTGGAGAACTACCAAAGCCATCATCCAGAAGATACAAGTGTTTATTAACAGTTGTCTTCACAAAATACTTCGGATGCGTTGGTCAGACACCATCAGCAACAACTAACTGTGGGAGAGAACAAGTCAGATTCCAGTGGAGGAGGAAATCAGGAAGAAGCGGTGTAAGTGGATAGGACACACACTACGAAAAGCACCTAACTGCGTCAAAAGAGAAGCACTCACTTGGAACCCTCAAGGTGAAAGGAAAAGAGGAGGGCCAAGGAACACATTACGCTGAGAAATAGAGAAAGACATGAGAGGAATGAACAAAAATTGGACAGAATTGGAAAGGGAAGCCCAAGACAGAGTTGGTTGGAGGGAACTGGTGAGCGGCCTATGCTCTATTGGGGGTAACAGGTAAAAGTAACTAAGTAAGTACTATTTTTTTGCCTCAGAGAAGTACTTTCTTTTAAATAAAATGATATTCAAGTATGTTTATTATTATTATTATTTTGAAATATTTTGTATTTAACTGCATGGAATGCAACGAAATACAATGAACTAATCTTTATTGATGATATCAATATTTAGAGTACAATTTTCTCATTTTAAAACCATTTGAATAACTTTCGCTGTTTTATGTAAAAATGATATTTGGAATTTTAAATAATATTAGTACTTTGTCAGGGAATCTGGTTCAAGTTTATTTATTTTATATACTGAGTACACGATTTCTATCGAAATATTCTTTTTATATTTTGACAAATGTTCTTAAAAACTATCGACTTTGTCTTGTGTATAATTAAGGACGATATGATTTAAATAAAACATTTTATTATTAAATATCACTAAAATGATGAATCGATCATTGTTAGACCATCACTAGAAACCTGAAATCATTAGGCGGCCGTTTCGTGTTAGTATCGGACTTATCAGCAGTGACTAGCTTCGTCGAAAGAAATTCTCGGAGCTCTAGGGAGAAGCCATGACTATTAGAATTCAGCCCTGTAGCATGTAGGCAGTAACTGCCGAAGGTAATGGGTGAGGTTGCACAAAAGCTTATACGCATTAAAGTTAGACATTAACACCGTTCAGTGGTCTTAAGGTTAGCCGTTCTTGTGTGAAACCGAAGATCCTAGGTTCGACTCCCGCGATTTATTGTGGTGGACAAAACCGCGATCCATTGCTTCCAGGTTTCTAATGGTGGTTTAACAATAATCGATACATAATTTCAATGAAACTCGAACATTTCCATAAATCTATATGTTTAGATCGTTTATTAATAAGCATACTCACTAATTTGTAAAGCAATCAAATCATCGATAGACATTGATATTCAGGCATTTGTGAACGAAAATGCAACTACTACTTAATTTTGTTGCATTTCAAAAATTTTCATTAGGAACTCACTTTTCATATTAGTTAATTTTAGGCGAATCCAATCATAAATTAACATATACATTTTTAAATCAGTTGACAATGTAGTTTTTTGTATAAAGTATTATTGAGATTACTTCATTGGATTATAATTGAGCTTTTAACCAAAATCATTTACAAACTAATTATATTGTTACGTTATTTTGATAACGTTAAATTATGCATAAACGTCATTAGTTGGTTAGTAAGACAGTAAAATAAGGAAAGATATTCTGTAAAATTATTACATCTATAATTCATTTATAACTCCGCCAGTTTTAACACATTTGAAATCATCAATCAATCATTGTTAGACTACCATTAGATATCTGGAATCACTGAAAGACGACCATTTCGTCCTTGTATGGGACTCATCAGTAGCAGTGAGCATCCACTACTCCTGCACCTCCCAGGATTCGAACTCGGGACCTTCGGTATTGCACGCGAACGCCTAACCATCGGACCTCTGAGCCGGCATCCAACGGTGTTCATGTCTAACTCTGATTGATCTAGGGATTTTCGCGCAACCTCACCCATTTTTTCTTCGATAGTTACTGCCTACACCCGACAAGGTTAAACGCCATTAGTCACATCTTCTCAACTAATCTTATCAAATGAAACCAACAATAAAACAATAAATACACACAAATACAACTCAATCGAACTAATCTTACTTACTGACATATCATTTATTGTAGTTTGTAAAGTACGATATTCATTTTTCAATATATCAATTTCAGAAAGATTAACAATATTTTCATCATTCTCCTCATCGATATCATTGATTAATAATGGAAGATTTGTTTGATTAATTGATAATTCCAACGCTTTTGTATATCCTGTATTAATTAATGAATTGATATTAGTTTGCAGTAATTTATTCGATGCCAATATCCATGATGAATCATTGTGTGTAACAATTTCATGATTAGCCAGCTCATTATTTCGAATCTTCTTTCTACTTTCTTCTTTAACTACGCTATCATCAACGTCATCATGATCATCATCATCAGTATTCGAATGACGCCTTAAATTAATTGAAGGAAATAAAGTAATCAAATGTAGCGTTTTCAACAATGCTCTCATATGATATTCAACATAAGTGGTAAATACCGAAAACAATTGATCCGACTGTTCACTTGTTATCGTTGTTGACAAACCAGTATTTGCATTACGCCAACATTTGATTAATTGATTTTGTGTAGTTTTCAATTCATGCATCATATATCGTTGCAATTGAATCAAATTGGTTCGTAACAATGTACAATCGATTTCAGTACCGAGTAATGTGCATACATTACGAAATTCCGCTGATATAATATTTAACAATTTGAATTGTTTTAAAAATTCTTCATATTCATTTAGTTCAGTAATCATTGGTGAAATTGTTGTCATTATTATTATTATTATGATTAGTATTATTACTATGATTATGTAATTTTGTTTTAATACTTGATATTAATATGATGATAGAATTATAAACTACTTTTTTTTTAAATAAGCACACACACACAAATACAAACAGAAATATGCATTTTTTTAATGCAATTTTTACAATTGGGCGTTGATTGAAATATCATTCATCACAAATATAAAAAAAATGAAGCAAACAGTATATGACAAACACAACTGATCACATAGTGGTGAATTTTCCCTTGAAAGCTTATTTACTCATTTACTCACATGTATTTTTTTTCTCTCTTCAACCTCTTCATTAATTCTAACAGTAAAATAATTGGCAATACCGTTTTTGTTTCATTTCAGTAAAGAAAAAAATTAACCAGAAAGTTTGTTTGTTTGTAGTCAATCAGAGTTAAATAAATTCAATATGATTGGTTGGTTGTTTGTTTGTTTGGTTAAAAAAAATATAAAAATAAATTTTATAAAATCTTGAATATTGAATACTTAACACTATATTTTTATTTTGTAACTTCAAAAATAACTGTTTTTTTAAAAAAAAAGTAGATATTGATTGTAACAGAAAATAAAATGAGGATAGAAATACTTTATTTCACTACTACTACTATTATTATCATTATAATGATTATCATTTTTTATAAATCTTACACCAACAACTACTTCTGTTTGTGAAATTTAAACAGAAAAAAATGAAACAAAGTAAAAATGAAACATTGAAGAATCAATTTCAGACAGAGTTAATAAACATTAATATTGATTCAGATAAGTTTATGATAAACATAAATGTTTATCCTAGTGGAAGAATCTTGGTAGCGTATTTATATCCTTTTAGGGGATTGTCAGTTGAGTGCACTACAACATACAGTTGAAGGACACACTACTAGACAATATCTAACAATGTATAAAAATGTTTACAAATTAATGGCACTATGAAGGCTGTCTACTAAGGATGCATATGTGACAAAAAATAGCTGATAAATTGCAGACCTTAACATCAATAATGTGAAGATCCACATTCTTCCAAATGGAATATCGATTTTTGTTATTGTTAGGAATGTTAGATCCCCAGAACTCACTTGGTAAAGGTCCTAATTTTGGATTTTTCGTGTTTTCGCGCATGGACTGATCACTTGACCTTGAGATTAAATTTCCCACTCGGAAAATCTCTGACTGTGATTAGTTGATGGATTATTTTAGTTTGCGATTTTTGTGACTCTCCCAACGACGTTTCTATCATGTATAAATAAACTCGATTTATGTGCTTGTAGAATACACTTTCTACACCTTATCAAGACTTCTTGATATACTTATCAGGGCCGAGGACAATCGAATCAGAATAGCCTATCATGTCACTGCATCTTTTGTCGTTTACCGAGTAAGGTGAACTCGTAATAGTTTCAAACATACCAGCTGACATGCATATCAGTTATCATTCACTGTTTTAACATTCACTAAAATAGTTAGATCAACAAAATTTATTATCTTCAATGGTTTACTGTAATATATGCATTATTCAGTAGTGTTTAAATTTCACTTTCCCACAATTATTTTCAAATTCCGTACATGTTTACAAAACATTCAGGTAAACAATATTCATTTTTTCACTCGTTAGTTGCATAATTAAGCTTGTTATTCGTTAAGTTAAGGAAGTCAGAAATAAGTTAATAATGAATGAGTGCAGTTGTATACTAATCGTTGTGTCTCATGAATATTGAATGTTGAAATTGATATCAACATGAAAATTTAAAGTTTAAAACAAATTTTGAAATCTTTATTCATGATTAATGAGTAATTTACTCTGATTTATTGATAATTATCTATTGCTAATCATAACAAAAGTTCTATTATGACTAAAATTATATAATGATTAACCGAAATATTTCAAAAAAGGATTATTTTACAAATTCGATCTCTGTTACATTTATCGATTTTTCATGAAATGAGTTTGCTAAAATTGATTATTCTTTTATATTTTTTGTAAAAATGAAACATCTCATTGTCATCATCTACTCTAATTTGCAGTGTTGTCGGACGTATAGAGAGTATACTGGAAAACATTAGGAATACACAAATCAGAATATGATATCATTTCTGTTATGCTCGTCATTTGATACGCTTGAAACTATTACCAGTTTATCATAGTCGATAAACGAGAACGAGACAATGAACTAGTGACACGATAGGCTACTCTGATCCGTTACCTCAACTAACTGAAGAAAACGTCTTGATATGGCGTAGGAAGTGTATTCTAAAAACACCCAACAAATACAATGATCTCAAGCATGCAAAACGAATTTATTTATACATGATAGAAACATCTTTGGAAGAGTCACAAAAATAGTGTACTAAAATAACACATCAACCAATCATAGCCAAGGATTTTCCTGGTGGGAAATGTGATCTCAAAATCAACTGATCAGCCCATGAATAAGATCCAAAATTAAGGCCCTCATCAAATGAGTTCTGGGTATCTAACGTCCCTAACAATTTCATGAAATGATTGACTCTAGGTCAGTGCCATTATCCATAGACAGAGAGATCGAGGTGATGACTTATAGAATACATGTAATCAAAAGTTGAAGCTCTAGGTTTGAGTGGTTTTAAACCAGTCACAGTCTGCTAATCGATATCCCTTTCTAGATCTTTCTATATTTTTATGAAAAGCATCATGCCTGAGTTGCTCTTTCTATGGAAGTCATTTGTCCTCTTTGAGATTCGTTTCTGATGTTTTCCTTCCTTCACTTCGATCAGTGTGTTCATGTGCGATATAACAACTTGCACTAGATGACAAAGTACTCGATTCAAAATACAGACTATTTAAATGAAAATGTTGCTAACAGACTAAAATCAACCCATAAGTAATCGTTTCCTCCACTATGGTGAAACTAATCAATAATGTCACTGAGAATAATATGATTTTAAAAAATGAACAAGAGAATTAATCAATACTGGAAATCGAACTAACTAAACAAACTTATCGACAAAATTAACATCTATGTATGAACATTGTGTGTAGAATATGAAGGGTAATAACTAGCTAGTGGTGTGTGCTACTTATACGAACGATATAAGTAGTATAAGAAGGGATGTGGAAGAGGAAGTCTCACGGTCAGAAGAAAGCAAATGGAGCAAAAGCAAGAAGTGAATGGAGTACCAACAGGAAGGGAAGGAAGCAACAACAGGAATGAAAGAAGGATGGAACGTTGGAAGTCAAGACTCAAAGATGGTGTACAAATAGAGTATTCAATGTAATGTTTTCGTTTTTAACTAACTCAGAGTGTAAATTTACATAATACAATCTTCCTCGCCTGCTTCATTCTTCTCATTAGGAAACAATCGTTAACCAATTCTTCTCATACATAGTTCACTACATCAGACATTGAAAAAGGACAATCTATTTGTTTTTTTTTGATTATCAAGGGCGTACTAAGTTACCAAGGTAACAATATATATATATGAAAATTTAGAAAGGATTATTCTCAGAAATTCTACATATGTATACATATATATATTTATTTTTCTCCATAGTATTAAACCAGAAAGGTTTTTGTTTTCTTTACTTTGTGAAATAAAAAAGTCAATTGAAACACAATTCTATTATGAAGAATTTGAATAATATTTTCAACAACAAAACAATGTACTTAAAAACACATATGTAACTCGTCGATATTTCATGCCAAATTGAGCATAATTTATTTATTTATTCACTCAATGTTAATTCTTAAATTATTGTAAGTTCGATAATTTAAGGAAATTTGTTCATTTAAGAAAATATCCACCTCTTTTCAGGTAAATAAATGTTTAAAATATTAATTCACTTCAATCGGATGCATATATTTGTGTTTGTTTCATTTGGCAGTTATTTTTTATAAGTAATTTAAAGTGTTAAATGGAATTAAAATGTTTTATAAGAATATTTTCATCAAGAGGTGAATGAAATGATTTGAAAAAAAAAGAGCTATAAAATTGAGAATAAAGAAAAAATATTATTTGTGAAAATCATATTTTAAATAATCTCAGCAATTAGAACGCTAGATAATTTCAACGTTTCGTTAAGCTAATTACTTACGACTGTTACCCCCATTTAAGAATAGGCCACCTACCAGTTTTTTCCACTCTACTGTATCCTGGGCTTCCCAGTCCGGATCTATCAAACTGTTATTTTTTTCTCCCCATGTCGGTCTCCATTTATCGGCGTAC